TCATAGGTACATAGGTTCATAGGTACATAGGTACATAGGTACATTGGTTCATAGGTTCATAGGTTCATTGGTACATAGGTTCATAGGTACATAGGTTCATTGGCACATAGGTACATAGGTACATTGGTACATAGGTACATAGGTACATAGGTTCATAGGTACATAGGTACATAGGTACATAGGTTCAGAGGTACATAGGTTCATTGGTACATAGGTTCATAGGTTCATAGGTTCATAGGTACATAGGTTCATAGGTACATAGGTACATAGGTTCATAGGTACATAGGTACATAGGTACATTGGTTCATAGGTTCATAGGTTCATTGGTACATAGGTTCATAGGTACATAGGTTCATTGGTACATAGGTACATAGGTACATAGGTACATAGGTTCATAGGTTCATAGGTTCATAGGTTCATAGGTACATAGGTACATAGGTACATCGGTTCATAGGTACATAGGTACATAGGTTCATTGGTACATAGGTACATAGGTACATAGGTACATAGGTTCATAGGTACATAGGTTCATTGGTTCATAGGTTCATAGGTACATAGGTACATCGGTTCATAGGTTCATAGGTTCATTGGTACATAGGTACATAGGTACATAGGTACATAGGTTCATAGGTACATAGGTACATAGGTTCATTGGTACATAGGTACATAGGTACATAGGTACATAGGTACATTGGTACATAGGTACATAGGTACATAGGTTCATAGGTACATAGGTACATAGGTACATAGGTTCATAGGTACATAGGTTCATTGGTACATAGGTTCATAGGTTCATAGGTTCATAGGTACATAGGTTCATAGGTACATAGGTTCATAGGTACATAGGTACATAGGTTCATTGGTACATAGGTACATAGGTACATAGGTACATAGGTTCATTGGTACATAGGTACATAGGTACATAGGTACATTGGTACATAGGTACATAGGTTCATAGGTACATAGGTACATAGGTACATAGGTTCATAGGTACATAGGTTCATTGGTACATAGGTTCATAGGTTCATAGGTTCATAGGTACATAGGTACATAGGTTCATAGGTACATAGGTTCATAGGTACATAGGTACATAGGTACATTGGTTCATAGGTTCATAGGTTCATTGGTACATAGGTTCATAGGTACATAGGTTCATTGGTACATAGGTTCATAGGTACATAGGTTCATAGGTTCATAGGTTCATAGGTACATAGGTACATCGGTTCATAGGTACATAGGTACATAGGTTCATTGGTACATAGGTACATAGGTACATAGGTTCATAGGTACATAGGTTCATTGGTACATAGGTACATAGGTTCATAGGTACATAGGTTCATTGGCACATAGGTACATAGGTACATTGGTACATAGGTACATAGGTACATAGGTTCATAGGTACATAGGTACATAGGTACATAGGTTCATAGGTACATAGGTTCATTGGTACATAGGTTCATAGGTTCATAGGTTCATAGGTACATAGGTACATAGGTTCATAGGTACATAGGTTCATAGGTACATAGGTACATAGGTACATTGGTTCATAGGTTCATAGGTTCATTGGTACATAGGTTCATAGGTACATAGGTTCATTGGTACATAGGTACATAGGTACATAGGTTCATAGGTTCATAGGTTCATAGGTTCATAGGTACATAGGTACATCGGTTCATAGGTACATAGGTACATAGGTTCATTGGTACATAGGTACATAGGTACATAGGTTCATTGGTACATAGGTTCATTGGTTCATAGGTTCATAGGTACATAGGTACATCGGTTCATAGGTTCATAGGTTCATTGGTACATAGGTACATAGGTACATAGGTACATAGGTTCATAGGTACATAGGTTCATTGGTACATAGGTACATAGGTACATAGGTTCATAGGTACATAGGTTCATTGGTACATAGGTACATAGGTACATAGGTACATTGGTACATAGGTACATAGGTACATAGGTTCATAGGTACATAGGTACATAGGTACATAGGTTCATAGGTACATAGGTTCATTGGTACATAGGTTCATAGGTTCATAGGTTCATAGGTACATAGGTACATAGGTTCATAGGTACATAGGTTCATAGGTACATAGGTACATAGGTACATTGGTTCATAGGTTCATAGGTTCATTGGTACATAGGTTCATAGGTACATAGGTTCATTGGTACATAGGTACATAGGTTCATAGGTACATAGGTACATAGGTACATAGGTTCATAGGTACATAGGTTCATAGGTACATAGGTACATAGGTTCATAGGTACATAGGTACATAGGTACATAGGTTCATAGGTACATAGGTTCATTGGTACATAGGTTCATAGGTACATAGGTTCATTGGTACATAGGTACATAGGTACATAGGTACATAGGTTCATAGGTACATAGGTTCATTGGTTCATAGGTTCATAGGTACATAGGTACATCGGTTCATAGGTTCATAGGTTCATTGGTACATAGGTACATAGGTACATAGGTTCATAGGTACATAGGTTCATTGGTACATAGGTACATAGGTACATAGGTTCATAGGTACATAGGTTCATTGGTACATAGGTACATAGGTACATAGGTACATTGGTACATAGGTACATAGGTTCATAGGTACATAGGTACATAGGTTCATAGGTACATAGGTTCATTGGTACATAGGTTCATAGGTACATTGGTTCATAGGTTCATAGGTTCATTGGTACATAGGTTCATAGGTACATAGGTTCATTGGTACATAGGTACATAGGTACATAGGTTCATAGGTTCATAGGTTCATAGGTTCATAGGTACATAGGTTCATAGGTACATAGGTACATTGGTTCATAGATTCATAGGTTCATTGGTACATAGGTTCATAGGTACATAGGTTCATTGGTACATAGGTACATAGGTACATAGGTTCATAGGTACATAGGTTCATAGGTACATAGGTACATAGGTTCATAGGTACATAGGTTCATAGGTACATAGGTACATAGGTTCATAGGTACATAGGTACATAGGTTCATAGGTACATAGGTTCATTGGTACATAGGTTCATAGGTACATAGGTACATAGGTTCATTGGTACATAGGTTCATAGGTACATAGGTACATAGGTTCATTGGTACATAGGTTCATTGGTACATAGGTTCATAGGTACATAGGTTCATAGGTACATAGGTACATAGGTTCATTGGTACATAGGTTCATTGGTACATAGGTACATAGGCACATAGGTACATAGCTTCATAGGTACATAGGTTCATTGGTACATAGGTTCATTGGTACATAGGTTCATAGGTACATAGGTACATAGGTTCATTGGTACATAGGTACATAGCTTCATAGGTACATAGGTTCATTGGTACATAGGTACATAGGTACATAGGTACATAGGTACATAGGTTCATTGGTACATAGGTTTATTGGTACATAGGTACATAGGTACATAGGTACATAGGTACATAGGTTCATAGGTACATAGGCACATAGGTACATAGGCACATAGGTACATAGGTACATAGGTTCATAGGCACATAGGTACATAGGTACATAGGTTCATAGGCACATAGGTACATAGGCACATAGGTACATAGGTACATAGGTACATAGGTTCATAGGCACATAGGTACATAGGCACATAGGTACATAGGTACATAGGTACATAGGTTCATAGGCACATAGGTACATAGGTACATAGGCACATAGGTACATAGGTACATAGGTACATAGGTTCATAGGCACATAGGTACATAGGCACATAGGTACATAGGTACATAGGTACATAGGTTCATAGGCACATAGGTACATAGGCACATAGGTTCATAGGCACATAGGTACATAGGCACATAGGTACATAGGTACATAGGCACATAGGTACATAGGTACATAGGTTCATTGGTACATAGGTACATAGGTACATAGGTACATAGGTTCATAGGCACATAGGTACATAGGCACATAGGCACATAGGTACATAGGTACATAGGTTCATAGGTTCATAGGCACATAGGTACATAGGCACATAGGTACATAGGTACATAGGTACATAGGTTCATAGGCACATAGGTACATAGGCACATAGGTACATAGGCACATAGGCACATAGGTACATAGGTACATAGGTACATAGGTTCATAGGCACATAGGTACATAGGCACATAGGTACATAGGCACATAGGTACATAGGTACATAGGTACATAGGTACATAGGCACATAGGTACATAGGCACATAGGTACATAGGCACATAGGTACATAGGTACATAGGCACATAGGTACATAGGCACATAGGTACATAGGTACATAGGTTCATAGGAGAGTCTGTTTTCCGCTGTAGCTTCGACCTCTGCAGATGTTCATGGTCCCTCTGTTTGTTCCTGGTGTAAATGGAGTCACAGACTTCCTGAGTGAAACACATGGTTCTCTGTAAACGCTTCTCTCTAAATGTAACTGTGGAAATGTTTTCTCCCGACTGAGAAACGCAACATAAGCAGCTTTTGACTCATCGAAAGGAGACAGCCTCCACTATCCACTTTTTACCACAAATTACCCCAACATTTTAAGTTTTTTACCTAAATTATTCAAACTAAGTCCTTGTGGGACCCATTATATTCAGCATGTGTAATGATAACACTGTTATAATAAGATAATAAAAGAATATAAACACTGGCCTTATATTTATACTGTGTACAAGGACAAGGATTAGCATGTTTTAGACAGGATATGCTAAGCTACCGCGCAGCTAGCTAGGGGCAACTCGAAGGAAGTTTGGGAGGTCCTAATTGAACTTGTATTTATCTAACCATAAGTGGTCATACGTACACAACACAAAGAGACACAACATACACAACACAAAGAGACACAACATACACAACACAAAGAGACACAACATACACAACACAAAGAGACACAACATACACAACACAAAGAGACACAACATACACAACACAAAAGCCGTCCTGGCCCTGGTGTTGTGCCTGTGTTGTGTAACAGTTGTGTTACTTTGTGCTCAGGTCTTTCTGTCGTGTAAAACAGAGGAGTTCGACCTGTGCCTGGACGGACAGCGGGAGCCCATCTGCTACAAGGAGATCACCACGGCGCTCAGGCAGTGGATCCTTCCCACGTTCGTAAGTGTTCGTGTTTAGTCTGCGGGGCTTCGTGTTTACATGCAGGCTTCTGTTATCTCAGGGCGGGTTTGTTTCTGTGAATGAATGGATTCTGAGTCAATGTCATCAACATCTATGTCAAACCCGGCCTCATTTCTCTCATTTTCTATTTTCAAATATGTGGAAATCTTGCACTACTCTCTGTACAGTGTTTTCTGAAGATTTGTTTACTTTTGTAACGTCTGTGCCTTCAGTCAAAGCCAATTCCTAGATTTTTTTTAAAGGTCTGCTTCCTGAAATATGTCCACCATAGCCTGGTCTTATCCATCCGTACTCTCCGGTCCATCATCATGTCCTGCAGGTAACGCCAAGAGTTTGTGCTGAACGGGCAGGTTGTAGTTTGGTGAAGAATGCAATAGTAAAGTATTCTGGTCTGGTTCTATCAAGAAAAACAGCATCTGGAAGGTAGCTTTGGACCAAGAGCCACTTTTGGACCAAGAGCCACTTTTGGACCAAGAGCCACTTTTGGACCAAGAGCCACTTTTGGACCGAGACCCACTTTTGCACCGAGAGCCACTTTTGGACCGAGACCCACTTTTGGACCAAGACCCACTTTTGGACCGAGACCCACTTTTGCACCGAGACCCACTTTTGCACCGAGACCCACTTTTGCACCGAGACCCACTTTTGGACCGAGAGCCACTTTTGGACCAAGAGCCACTTTTGGACCAAGAGCCACTTTTGGACCAAGACCCACTTTTGGACCAAGACCCACTTTTGAACCAAGACCCACTTTTGGACCAAGACCCACTTTTGGACCAAGACCCACTTTTGGACCAAGACCCACTTTTGGACCAAGACCCACTTTTGAACCAAGACCCACTTTTGGACCACCCTGTAAAGCCGTTTTCGAGAGAAAAGACGATGCTATACATTAGCATTGTATAATTATTACTCCGGGTCCACCCCCACTGGCCCGGGGTGGTATTGCAAGCGTTTTGAAGCTGCCCACAGAAGCCATTAGTGATGTCACATTAGTTTGAACGGCGGAGATAGGCGTCACTACATCCGTTCATATTCACAGTCTGTGGTCTAAACCTGCCTATGGTCCGAGTCTGTCCTCTCTCTTCTTCTTCCTCTTTCTCCTGTTTACACTCATCTCTGTGTGTTTTCAGGAAAAGCGATTGCGTTCACTCATCCACAAGCCGCTCTGTGCTCTCCGCGACCTCCTCGTCGGGCCCCGGAACCTGATCCGCAAGAGACTGGACAAACTGCTGGACTACGAACTCATCGAGGCCAAGAGCAGCCTGAGCTACGAGGAGCAAGCTGCAGCCAACACCTACAAGTAAATAACAACAACAAACAAACCCACACCTGCAAAACTTGGTCATCTTAAGCTGGGGTAGGGTCAGGGGTTAGGGGTTAGGGGTTAGGGGTTAGGGGTTAGGGTTAGGGTTTAGGGTTAGGGGTTAGGGGTTAGGGTTAGGGTTAGGGTTAGGGTCAGGGTTCGTTTGCCATTCGCAGTAATAGCCATACACTGCAAAAGGTGATGAAAAACAAGCAGAAAATAGCTCAAATATGGCTAAATATATCTTACTGTTGCCTATAAGGAGCTTCTTCTTCTTTTTCTTCTTCTTCTTTTTCTTTTTCTTCTTCTTTTTTTTCTTTTTTTTCTTTTTCCTCTTTTTCCTCTTTTTCTTCTTTTTCTTTTTCTTCTTTTTCTTTTTCTTTTTCTTCTTTTTTTTCTTCTTTTTTTTCTTTTTCTTCTTCTTTTTCTTCTTTTTCTTTTTCTTCTTCTTTTTTTTCTTTTTTTTCTTTTTCCTCTTTTTCTTCTTTTTCTTTTTCTTCTTTTTCTTTTTCTTTTTCTTCTTTTTTTTCTTCTTTTCTTTCTTTTTTTTCTTCTTTTTTTTCTTTTTCTTTTTCTTCTTCTTCTTCTTCTTCTTTTTCTTCTTTTTCTTTTTCTTCTTTTTCTTCTTCTTTTTTTTCTTTTTCCTCTTTTTCTTCTTTTTCTTCTTTTTCTTTTTCTTTTTCTTCTTTTTTTTCTTCTTTTTTTCCTTTTTCTTCTTCTTTTTCTTCTTTTTCTTTTTCTTCTTCTTCTTTTTCTTCTTCTTTTTCTTCCTCTTCTTCCTCCTCCTCCAAGGCAAAGCTACATAAACCTGTCCCATTGGAGAATCTTGTTTTAAAACTTGTATTTAAATCAGAATGTTCTCAAAAAATATAAAATGAACGTAATCCAAGCATGTATATGATAATTTTCTGCAGTGTAGGTTCTGGTCCATTCTGTTTTCGTCTCAGATAAAGTAGAGTCGGCACAAATCATGAGAACGCTGTCATTATGGGATCCCAGCGCTGCACTAACATGTTATTCTTAACCTCCTACACACGTGTCTGCTTTAGAGAACATGCTGGTACATATCATTAGGGTAATTTGGGGTTTTTAGCATCCACAGATTACAGATTACAGATTACAGCCTGTGTGAGTGAGGTCTGTCTGAGCAACTGAAGAACGTGATGAAAAATATGAAAAAAATTGCTATAATGTGTCTTAATTTCAGACTTTGTCCCATTGGAGAATGTTGTTTTAAAACTGTCAGAATTGCATTAAATTCAAATTAAGATTAAAAACACGTGATTGCAGTGCAGTTATTCCTGATTCTCTAATTCTGTTTGTAATGATTATATTGAAAACATTTACTGAATTTTCTCTTGTTTGACTTTGTTGAGGCATTTGTAAATTATCTTTTCATTTAAACTGAGGAAAAATATCATCAAACCAAGATTAATATCACGCACTTCCAGCTGGTGCTTCACACAGACTCTTTAAAATGGTGCGGTCCTACACTGCCCCCTGCTGGTGTTAGGGTTCCATTGCTTTTTATGAGTAATCTGCCTCATTCTGATCAAAAATAATATTATTGTTGTTATAGAAAATCATTTGTATTTTACCGATGTACAAATTCAGCTGTTATAGATAATAAATAATAATGATAGAGGAATAAGACAAAAAAATCCATTATAGCTGACTTTGTGACTCGAGGTCTTTCTGAGTGGAGTTTGCATGTTCTCCCTGTGTCTGTGTAGGTTTCCTCCAAGTGCTCCGGTTTCCCCTACCACTAAAACAGATATTAAAGGTCTGGCACGTGCCTCCTGTACTGACCTCGCTCCATCTCTGTGCTATAATAAACATAACTTACTCGTGTCTGTGTCTGTGTGTGTGTGTGTGTGTGTGTGTGTGTGTCTGTGTGTGTGTCTGTGTGTGTGTGTGTGTGTGTGTGTCTGTGTGTGTGTCTGTGTCTGTGTGTGTGTGTGTCTGTGTGTGTGTGTGTGTGTGTGTGTGTCTGTGTGTCTGTGTGTGTGTGTGTGTCTGTGTGTGTGTCTGTGTGTGTCTGTGTGTGTGTCTTCTGTAGGACCATGAACACACTGCTCCTGACTGAGCTGCCGCGCTTCAACACGGTGTCGCTGCAGTTGATCTGGAGGCTCCTGGGAACCTTCAGCTGTTTGCACCGAGACCTGGCCTCGGACATGACCCAACTGTTCCAGACCTTTGCCACGCAGGTCCTGACCCTTGACCCCTGACCCTACTTTATCCTGCCCTACCCTACCCTACCCTACTCTACTCTACTCTACCCTTCTCTACTCTACCCTACCCTACTCTACCCTACCCTACCCTACCCTACTCTACTCTACTCTACTCTACTCTGCCCTACCCTACTCTACCCTACCCTACCCTACTCTACCCTACCCTACTCTACTCTACTCTGCTCTACTCTACTCTACTCTACTCTGCCCTACCCTACTCTACCCTACCCTACCCTACTCTACCCTACCCTACTCTACTCTACTCTACTCTACTCTGCCCTACCCTACTCTACCCTACCCTACCCTACTCTACCCTACCCTACTCTACTCTACTCTACTCTACTCTGCCCTACCCTACTCTACCCTACCCTACCCTACTCTACTCTACTCTACTCTACTCTACTCTGCCCTACCCTACTCTACTCTGCTCTACTCTACTCTACTCTACTCTACTCTACCCTACCCTACTCTACTCTACTCTACTCTACTCTACTCTACTCTACTCTACTCTACCCTACCCTACTCTACCCTACCCTACTCTACTCTACTCTACTCTACTCTGCCCTACCCTACTCTACCCTACCCTACCCTACTCTACTCTACTCTACTCTACTCTACTCTACCCTACCCTACCCTACCCTACCCTACCCTACCCTACCCTACCCTACCCTACCCTACCCTACTCTACTCTACTCTACTCTACTCTACTCTACTCTACTCTACTCTACTCTACTCTATAGAAAATGTGAGACCGGTTTCTTCTCTGACATTGTTCAGATCCAGGTTAAAAACAGTTCTTCATCTTCAGTATTTTTGTCATGATAGATTTTACCTTGTCTTGTGTATGAACTGTGCCATACCAATAAACCTGCCGTTCTTTTGCCTCTTTCCCTCGTGCAGCTCCCTCACGGTGCCCTGAGCCCCAGTGCATTCTGGGAGTGGGCAGAGGCTGCGGTGATGCACGGGATGAAGAACCTGCAGAGGCTGTGTCAGACTGTAGAAGAGGCTCTGAGTGCTCCTGTGGCCACGGTCAGTCTCACCACATTACTCTGCTTTTAGTTAAGTTAGGTCCCCCAGAGAGACCAGAGAGAGACCAGAGAGAGACCAGAGAGAGACCAGAGAGAGACCAGAGAGAGACCAGAGAGAGACCAGAGAGAGACTAGAGAGAGAGGCCAGAGAGAGACCAGAGAGAGACTAGAGAGAGAGGCCAGAGAGAGGCCAGAGAGAGACCAGAGAGAGACCAGAGAGAGACCAGAGAGAGACCAGAGAGAGACCAGAGAGAGACCAGCGAGAGACCAGCGAGAGAGAGAGACCAGAGAGAGAGAGAGAGAGACCAGAGAGAGAGAGAGAGAGTCCAGAGAGAGAGAGAGAGAGAGACCAGAGAGAGACCAGAGAGAGAGACCAGAGAGAGACCAGAGAGAGAGACCAGAGAGAGAGAGAGAGAGACCAGAGAGAGAGACCAGAGAGAGAGAGAGAGAGACCAGAGAGAGAGAGAGAGTCCAGAGAGAGACCAGAGAGAGAGACCAGAGAGAGACCAGAGAGAGAGACCAGAGAGAGACCAAAGACCAGAGAGAGACCAGAGAGAGGCCAGAGAGAGACCAGAGAGAGATGCAGTCAATTTGAAAAAAGTGATGGTACATTCATTCCAAAGGCATATTTACAGTCTAACCTGTGGTCCGTGGTCGAGCTTCTCCCGACAGTAAACACACATGGTATAAATACAGTATCCTGTCTCTGCCCCTGTCCAGCCCGTGCACCCCTGCTGGGCTCTGCGGTACCAGCAGCTGTGTCTGAAGCACCAGAAGGAGCGAGTCTTCGAGGTCACGGCCGGGGTGGTGGGACGAGGAGAGCTGGACCTGAGCCTCATCAGGGGAGAGCTGGTGGCAGTGGTCAGCGAGAGAGACAGCCGGGGAGACCGCCGCCGCTGGCTGGTCGACGCTGGAGGTGAGGCGTCTGAGTACCGTACTTTCTTTTAATGTTGTAATGTAGCAGCCATTATGACAAGAACAGGTGATGTCAGCAACTGAAATTGTGTATATTATTGAAAGCAAAGTACATTTTTGACCATAGAACACTGTATAATATGAACAGTAAGTATTTTTCAGCAATAACATTTAAAACAGTCCCAGCCCTTTGCATAACTATCAGCTGTAAGATTCAAACTAATAACTAGATTAATGTTTTGAGCTCGTATTGAAATGACAACGTTGATTGTTTTTTGCAGGGAAACGAGGCTACGCTCCTGCCTCCAAACTGAGGCAATACCCGGGGCCCCCAGCAGAGGGCCCTCCTCCTCCATCTCCGCTGTCCCCCAGACCAGACTGCAGACTGGACGTGAAGCAGCTGTCCAAGAGCCTGGACCTGCGCCCCTCCTCCGTGTCCCCCACTTACCCCTGCCCCCCCAGTCCCAGTCCAAGTCCCAGTCCCAGGGTCCACACCAAACCTCTGGCTCCTCCTCTGTCTCCGGCGGTGCCCAGCTTTCAGGTCAGCACTCGGAAATACAAATACTAAGAATGCACTGCAAAAAGTGATTCAATGTGAGGTAATAACTGCTGGAAGTTATTTTTTTATCTTAATTTGACACATTCTGACTCTAATAAAAAATTCTTAGTCTTATCTCAAGAACTGTTATTTTATTTTCTCATTCCAAGGGAGACATTTCTTGTATCTTCTTAAAACTAGTTAATCTTGCCTTGTCAAATTGGCAAACCTGGTTTTAAAGAAGTCAAAATGTGCTAAAATCAAGATGGATTTTGTCAAAATTAAGCAATGTTTGGCTTTTTTTCATCACTTTTTGCAGTGTAGGCTTCTGTGATGTGCATTTTCTACCTGTAAGGCCTCAAGCATTACAAACGTCACAGTAAACTCAGATCCAATGGTTTCAATCTGCAAAAGGAGTTAACCCCTCCCACCTGTTAACGGAGTCAATGGAGCTAATCCAGACCTTAGTATGAAATGTAATGTGTACTATGGTGTGGTAAGACCAGGCTAGAGTGGAAGTAACAGAGTTGAAAATTCTTCACTTGGTTGAGCAGAGGCAGATTTGCACTTGAGATTTTGTTTATGATCATTAAAAAACTATAGTAGGTATTTTAACACAAACTGACTGGTGATAGAATCCTTGGAATAAATACAATTAGAAATGAAATAATCTGCATTAAACTGTAGATTATGGCCGTAGAAGTCAGAAAAGTCATAATTAAAATCCCTACATAATGACAGATGGTGCTCAGTATCATATCGAGCCTGATCCCAGCCTCTGTATTCCACTTCCTGTCCTGAAGCCGTGATGAAACTGTCAGTCTCGTTCCCCTTTGCTCTCCTCGTCGGAACAGGAGCTCGACGGCAAAGCAAAGCTGCAGATGTTGCGAGCCGTGGCCACAGATGGAGCTGTCACAGGCCGCGCTGATGAATGAGTTTGCATATTTTGGCTCAGCTTTTCTTTGTGGAATAAACAGGATTATTCTGGATTAAGCGAGACTCATAATCTGCTGCTTCTGACCCTGGTCCTGGAGAAGTTTCCTGCCTCCGACCAAACACCATTCATTTACTCACTCATTACATTCAGACCTATTGTGCATGTTTTTAGTGGTAGGGGAAACCGGAGCACCCGGAGGAAACCTAGTCAGACACGGGGAGAACATGCAAACTCCACTCAGAAAGGCCCTGTTCCGACTGGGATTCGTACTCAGGAGATTCTTGCTGAGAAGCGAGAGTGGCGGGTGTCTCATTCAACATTGCAGCGGAGCCGTTTAGCTAGCAGCAGAGATTGTAAACGGACTCGGAGGAAACAAACTTGTCTAAAAAGACGCAGAGTGTAGATTACAACAGAAGGTGGCGCTGCGTCAGAGTCCGTGGCGTTTCATACAGCGACTGCAAACTCCAAATACACTGTTAAATATTTGCATTTTTGCCAATTCCCACCACTCTTTCATATGTCTCTGTCAGAGCAGCAGGGGGCAGTATAGAGTGCAGTGGGATGTTGTGGTCTCTGCTGGGGGTTGTTCTGGTCCAGTCCGGGGTTAGCTTCCTGGATATTGACTACGGTGGAAGCTGCTCCGGCATTTTCCCCACGGCCACGGCTGGACGTAGAGAGGTCAATGCAAACAGGAAATCTGGACTATTTCTTGTAAAACCAACGCAACACTAAATAATTAACAATAGACGGATGGAAAGTTGGGCGATGGAAGTCAACAGACTTGGACTTGACTTGGACTCCTGGGCTAGGGACTTGGACTTGACTTGGACTTGCGGGTCAGAGACTTGGACTTGACTTGGACTTGCGGGTCAGAGACTTGGACTTGACTTGGACTTGCGGGTCAGAGACTTGGACTTGACTTGGACTTGCCGGTCAGAGACTTGGACTTGACTTGGACTTGCCGGTCAGAGACTTGGACTTGACTTGGACTTGCGGGTCCAGGGACTTGGACTTGCGGGTCCAGGGACTTGGACTTGACTTGGACTTGCCGGTCAGAGACTTGGACTTGACTTGGACTTGCGGCTCCAGGGACTTGGACTTGACTTGGACTTGCGGGTCCAGGGACTTGGACTTGACTTGGACTTGCCGGTCAGAGACTTGTGTGCATCTCTGTAAGTAATGATAATAATAATTGATAATAAGTAATAATAATATCTTTTGGGGAGACAGAGGCTCAGTTGGTAGAGCATTGGCCTTTGAGCCTGAAGGTTGTGGGTTCGAGTCCACCACGAGACCTTCTCCACCGACTCCTTCTGGTCGTTGTGTCCTTGGGCAAGACACTGGATATGCTTAGATATTTGTATTCATCAAACTAAAAACTCCCCACTGTGGGACAAAGAAAATACCTTCTTTCTTTCTGCCGGGACTCTGAGGAGCACAGGGACTGTCCTCCTGCTGGGACTCTAAAGGGGCGTTCACACCGGACTTAACTTCGGCGTCAAAAGCGTCAGGTTTCCATTGAAAGTGAATGGTGAAGCGCGTCAGGTGAAGCCGAGGGGCCCGGCGTCACTTGACGCGCGAAACGCTCGCGTATCACAACAATCCCTTTGACGCCGAAGCTGAGCAAAGCTGAGCTTTTGAAGCTTTGACGCGGGCTTCAACCAATCAGGAGACGAGGAGCAGCAGCAGCAGAGGGTCTGTCTCTGTCATGGAGAGAAGTCATGTATCTGCTGCTGCTGTTTTATTGTCATTATTGTTATTAGTAATATTATTTGTATGAGTAGTAAAACTCTGAGTAACAAAAATCATTGTACACATGCTGTGTAGTAAACGTAGTTTATTTAATATAAGAACAGGCTGACGATGAGTCTGGCTCAGAGCAAGGCAGCTCCGGGCGGGCGAGAGCCGGGGAGAGGCAGGGAGAGGCAGGGAGAGGCAGGGAGAGGCGAGCGAGAGCCGGGGAGAGGCGAGCGAGAGCCGGGGAGAGGCGAGAGAGAGGCAGGGAGAGGCAGGGAGAGGCGAGCGAGAGCCGGGGAGAGGCGAGCGAGAGCCGAGGAGAAGCAGGGAGAGGCAGGGAGAGGCGAGCGAGAGCCGGGGAGAGGCGAGCGAGAGCCGGGGGAGGCGAGGGAGAGGCGGGGAGAGGCGAGCGAGAGCCGGGGGGGGAGAGGCGAGAGCAGGAGAGCAGGGAGAGGCAGGGAGAGGCGAGAGCGAGAGCCGGGAGAGCGAGGGAGAGCGAGAGCGGGGAGAGGCGAGCGAGAGCCGGGGAGAGCAGGGAGAGGCGAGCGAGAGCCGGGCGAGGCGAGCGAGAGCCGGGGAGAGGCGAGGGAGAGGCAGAGGAGAGCGAGGGGCGAGAGCGAGCGAGAGCCGGGAGAGGCGAGCGAGAGCCGGGGAGAGGCGAGGGAGAGCAGGGGAGGAGCGGAGGGCGAGCGAGGCGAGAGCGGAGAGGGAGCGAGAGCGAGGAGAGCGGAGCGAGCGAGCGGAGGGCAGGCGAGACGGCGGGAGAGCGAGCGAGAGCCGGGGAGAGGCGAGGAGAGCCGGGGAGAGGCGAGGGAGAGCGAGGAGAGCGGGAGAGGGGGAGGGGAGAGGCGAGGAGAGGCGGAGAGCGAGAGAGCCGGGGAGAGGCAGCAGAGCGCGAGAGGCGAGGAGAGCCGGGGAGAGGCGAGGGAGAGGCAGGGGAGGCGAGCGAGAGCCGGGGAGAGGCGAGCGAGAGCCGGGAGAGGCGAGCGAGAGCCGGGGAGAGGCGAGCGAGAGCCGGGGAGAGGCGAGCGAGAGCGGGAGAGGCGAGCGAGAGCGGGAGGCGAGCGAGAGCGGGGAGAGGCGAGCGAGAGCCGGGGAGGCGAGCGAGGGAGGCGAGCGAGAGCCGGGGAGAGGCGAGCGAGAGCGGGGAGAGGCGAGGAGAGGGGAGAGGCGAGGGAGAGCGAGGGAGAGAGCCGGGGAGAGGCGAGCGAGAGCCGGGGAGAGGCGAGCGAGAGCCGGGGAGAGGCGAGCGAGAGCCGGGGAGAGGCGAGCGAGAGCCGGGGAGAGGCGAGGCGAGAGCCGGGGAGAGGCGAGCGAGAGCCGGGGAGAGGCGAGCGAGAGCGAGAGCCGGGAGAGGCGAGGGAGAGGCAGGGAGAGGCGAGGGAGAGGCAGGGAGAGGCGAGCCGGGGAGAGCGGGGGAGAGGCGAGCGAGAGCAGGAGAGGCGAGCGAGAGCCGGGGAGAGCGAGCGAGAGCCGGGGAGAGGCGAGCGAGAGCCGGGGAGAGGCGAGCGAGAGCCGGGGAGAGGCGAGCGAGAGCCGGGGAGAGGCGAGGGAGAGGCGAGCGAGAGCCGGGGAGAGGCGAGGGAGAGGCAGGGAGAGGCGAGGAGAGCCGGGGAGAGGCGAGCGAGAGCCGGGGAGAGGCGAGCGAGAGCCGGGGAGAGGCGAGCGAGAGCCGGGGAGAGGCGAGGGAGAGGCGAGCGAGAGCCGGGGAGAGGCGAGCGAGAGCCGGGGAGAGGCAAGCGAGAGCGAGAGCCGGGGAGAGGCGAGGAGCGGGAGAGGCGGGAGAGCGAGAGGCGAGCGAGAGCCGAGGAGAGGCAGGGAGAGGCAGGGAGAGGCGGGCGAGAGCCGAGGAGAGGCAGGGAGAGGCGGGCGAGAGCCGGGGAGAGGCAGGGAGAGGCGGGCGAGAGCCGAGGAGAGGCAGGGAGAGGCGAGCGGAGAGCCGGGGAGAGGCGAGCGAGAGCCGGGGAGAGGCGAGCGAGAGCCGGGGAGAGGCGAGCGAGAGCCGGGGAGAGGCGAGGGAGAGGCGAGCGAGAGCCGGGGAGAGGCGAGGGAGAGGCGAGCGAGAGCCGGGGAGAGGCGAGGGAGAGGCAGGGAGAGGCGAGCGAGAGCCGGGGAGAGGCGAGCGAGAGCCGGGGAGAGGCGAGGGAGAGCCGGGGAGAGGCGAGGGAGAGGCGAGCGAGAGCGGGGAGAGCGAGCGAGAGCCGGGGAGAGGCGAGCGAGAGCCGGGGAGAGGCGAGCGAGAGCCGGGGAGAGGCGAGCGAGAGCCGGGCGAGAGGCGAGCGAGCGGAGAGCGAGGGAGAGGCGAGGGAGAGCGGGGAGAGGGAGCGAGGGAGAGGCAGGGAGAGGCGAGCGAGAGCCGGGGAGAGGCGAGGGAGAGGCAGGGAGAGGCAGGGAGAGGCGAGCGAGAGCCGAGGAGAGGCGAGCGAGAGCCGGGGAGAGGCGAGCGAGAGCCGGGGAGAGGCGAGCGAGAGCCGGGGAGAGGCGAGGGAGAGGCAGGGAGAGGCAGGGAGAGGCGAGCGAGGCCGGGAGAGGCAGGGAGAGGCAGGGAGAGGCGAGGAGAGAGAGCAGGGAGAGGCAGGGAGAGGCGAGGGAGAGGCAGGGAGAGCCGGGAGAGGCGAGCGAGAGCCGGGGGAGGCGAGAGGCGAGGGAGAGGCAGGGAGAGGCGAGCGAGAGCCGGGGAGAGGCAGGGGAGAGGCGAGCGAGAGCCGGGGAGAGGCGAGGGAGAGGCAGGGAGAGGCGAGCGAGAGCCGGGGAGAGGCGAACGAGAGCCGGGGAGAGGCGAGCGAGAGCCGGGGAGAGGCGAGGGAGAGGCGAGGGAGAGGCAGGGAGAGCCGGGAGAGGCGAGAGAGAGGCAGGGAGAGGCAGGGAGAGGCGAGCGAGAGCCGGGGAGAGGCGAGCGAGAGCCGGGGAGAGGCGAGCGAGAGCCGGGGAGAGGCGAGCGAGAGCCGGGGAGAGGCGAGCGAGAGCCGAGGAGAGGGAGAGAGAGGCAGGGAGAGGCAGGGAGAGGCGAGCGAGAGCCGGGGAGAGGCGAGGGAGAGGCAGGGAGAGGCGAGCGAGAGCCGGGGAGAGGCGAGCGAGAGCCGGGGAGAGGCGAGGGAGAGGCGAGAGCGAGAGGCGAGGGAGAGGCGGAGGGAGAGGCAGGGAGAGGCGAGGAGAGGGAGCGAGAGCGGGGAGAGGCGAGCGAGAGCCGGGAGAGGCGAGCGAGAGCCGGGGAGAGGCGAGCGAGAGCCGGGGAGAGGCGAGCGAGAGCCGGGGAGAGGCGAGCGAGAGCCGGGGAGAGGCGAGCGAGAGCCGGGGAGAGGCGAGCGAGAGCGGGGAGAGCGAGCGAGAGCCGGGGGAGAGGCGAGGGAGAGGCAGGGAGAGGCGAGGGGAGAGCCGGGGAGAGGCGAGCGAGAGCCGGGGAGAGGCGAGGGAGAGGCAGGGAGAGGCGAGCGAGAGCCGGGGAGAGGCGAGCGAGAGCCGGGGAGAGGCGAGCGAGAGCCGGGGAGAGGCGAGCGAGAGCCGGGGAGAGGCGAGGGAGAGGCAGGGAGAGGCGAGCGAGAGGCGGGGAGAGGCGAGCGAGAGCCGGGGAGAGGCGAGCGAGAGCCGGGGAGAGGCGAGGGAGAGGCAGGGAGAGGCGAGAGCGAGACGGGGAGAGGCGAGCTCCGGGGTTTGAGAACTCAGACTGGGCGAGTGACATGCGGAAGTACCGCTGAAAGCGAAACTCCTCCGTACGCAGCTCCTGGAGTAAATGACGGAACTCTGCAAACACTGCAGCCTCTCAAGTCTGTGGTGAACCCAGAACATGTTTTGTTGAAGCCCTACAACAACGTTATTTTGCTTTATATAACAAATAAAGGCTCGCTGCTCATTGAAAAATCCACCGCTGTCCTGACTACAGACAACAGAGAAGCTCCTCCCACAGACAACAGAGAAGCTCCTCCCACAGACAACAGAGAAGCTCCTCCCACAGACAACAGAGAAGCTCCTCCCACAGACAACAGAGAAGCTCCTCCCACAGACAACAGAGAAGCTCCTCCCACAGACAACAGTGAAGCTCCTCCCACAGACAACAGAGAAGCTCCTCCCACAGACAACAGAGAAGCTCCTCCCACAGACAACAGAGAAGCTCCTCCCACAGGCGTCAGGCGCGTCACTCGCGTCAAAAGCTTCAAGCACCAAAATGACAAAACTATCCCGGCGTCAGTTGAAGCGCGTCAAAAGCTTTTTGAAGTTTTTGGTCTGAACGCGCCTTAAGGAGCACAGGGACTGTCCTGCTGGGACTCTGAGGAGCACAGGGACTGTCCTGCTGGGACTCTGAGGAGCACAGGGACTGTCCTGCTGGGACACTGAGGAGCACAGGGACTGGCCTCCTGCTGGGACTCTGAGGAGCACAGGGACTGGCCTCCTGCTGGGACTCTGAGGAGCACAGGGACTGTCCTGCTGGGACACTGAGGAGCACAGGGACTGGCCTCCTGCTGGGACTCTGAGGAGCACAGGGACTGGCCTCCTGCTGGGACTCTGAGGAGCACAGGGACTGGCCTCCTGCTGGGACTCTGAGGAGCACAGGGACTGGCCTCCTGCTGGGACTCTGAGGAGCACAGGGACTGGCCTCCTGCTGGGACTCTGAGGAGCACAGGGACTAGACTCCTGCTGGGACTCTGAGGAGCACAGGGACTGGACTCCTGCTGGGACTCGGAGGAGCACAGGGACTGGACTCCTGCTGGTCCCAGAGTCAGAACTAAACACAAGGAGGCAGCGTTTCGGAACAGTCTTCCTGGAAATGTTAGACAGGCTCAAATCCATGTTAAAGCAGTTGTCGTTGCTGTGATACAACTGAAGGATTTAATCTTTACTCTTTTTAAGTAGTTTTGACTTTATCTTTTGTTTTGGCTTATGTGTAAACTGTGCTATACAACTAAACCTCCGCGGACAGCCTCATGTGTCCTGTTAGCTTGTCATGCGGACGCTAAATGCTAATGGGATGCTAATCAGAGCCGTTATCGCCTGCGTCCGATCCAGGCAGCATGTGGTGATGGCCAACTCATGACAGCGGCACCGGGCCACGGCGTTTGTTAGCGCTGTCATGCTAACCCCTTCGTGCTAGCTCCGTGCTCATTAGCCTGCGGAGAGCGCCGTCACGGTCTGAGTCTTGACCTTTTCACTCAGCGCCGCAGTCATTTGTACTCGCCGTGGCAGTTACGCCGGCTCACGTTACGGACAGTGGCTTTATTCTTCAGAGCCACAGTCAGAGCCACAGTCAGAGCCACAGTCAGAGCCACAGTCAGGGCCACAGTCAGAGCCACAGTCAGAGCCACAGTCAGAGCCACAGTCAGAGCCACAGTCAGAGCCACAGTCAGAGCCACAGTCAGAGCCACAGTCAGAGCCACAGTCAGAGCCACAGTCAGGGCCACAGTCAGAGCCACAGTCAGAGCCACAGTCAGAGCCACAGTCAGAGCCACAGTCAGGGCCACAGTCAGAGCCACAGTCAGAGCCACAGTCAGAGCCACAGTCAGAGCCACAGTCAGAGCCACAGTCAGAGCCACAGTCAGAGCCACAGTCAGAGCCACAGTCAGAGCCACAGTCAGAGCTGACGGAGGAAACTGCGGCGGCCATTACGTCTCCAAAGATATTTAAGATGGAGTTTGGATTTCATTTTGGCCTAATCTAATTGAGGTCTCACCAATAGAAAGGAGACACACTATCCTAAATTGGAACAAGGAGCATTCAAAAGCCTGATCCTGTTTGATCTGTGAAGTTAAGCAAGACAGGGCCTGGTTAGTACTGGGATGGGAGACCTCTGGGAACCGTAGTAGGGTGACTGCGGTTCTAAAGGGCTAAAATGTGTCCTTAGTCGAAGTCTAAGTTTAATTACATTGTCTAAGACACTGTGTGTGTGTCTGTGTCTCTGTGTGTGTGTGTGTGTCAGTGCCTCTGTGTCCGTCTGTGTGTGTCTGTGTCTCTGTGTGTGTCTGTGTCTCTGTGTGTGTCAGTGCGTCTCTGTGTGTGTGTGTGTCTGTGTCTCTGTGTGTGTGTGTGTGTGTCAGTGCCTCTGTGTGTGTGTGTGTGTGTGTCTGTGTCTCTGTGTGTGTCAGTGCGTCTCTGTGTGTGTTTGTGTCTGTGTCTCTGTGTGTGTCAGTGCGTCTGTGTGTGTGTGTGTGTGTGTCAGTGCGTATCTGTGTGTGTGTCAGTGCGTCTCTGTGTGTGTCTGTGTCTCTGTGGTCCTAAAATAAAACGTTTTCTTTCTACTCTTACCTTTCCAGACAACATTTCCTTCATCTGTCTCTCTGTTCTCGTGCTGTAGGATTGGGATTGCCTGTGGGTGGCTTGGGGGGAATGTTTTAAAGCTCTTTACAAAAACCTTGCATTAAATGATCAACTCCTCTAATTCATATTTGTACTGATTCATAAGGAGCATTGAGTCGAAAACTAGCAAAGACCCCAGAATAACACATGCTAGCTACGTATTTAACCGAGTCAAAGCTAAAGAAAACAAAAAATCTCTTCTACTTCCTTCCCTACATGACTCTGCTCTCGCCTCTTCCAGGTGGTGGCAGCTTACCCCTTCACCGCCCGGGGTCCGAGGGAGGTCTCTCTGGGGGCCGGAGAACCAGTGAGAGTCCTGGAGCCCCACGACAAGAAGGGCAGCCCCGAGTGGAGCTTAGTCCAGACGGCGAGAGGCCAGAGCGGGTACGTGCCCTCAAACTACCTCACCATGGTGCCCCAGACCAGCTACGCAAGACCCTACCCCTGAGGAAGACCCTACCCCTGAGGAAGACCAGGCCCCTGAGGAAGACCAGGCCTCTGAGGAAGACCAGGCCCCTGAGGAAGACCAGGCCTCTGAGGAAGACCAGGCCCCTGAGGAAGACCCTAACCCTTGAGGAAGACCAGGGCCCTGAGGAAGACTCTACCCTTATGGAAAACCAGGCCCTTGAGGAAGACCCTAACCCTTGAGGAAGACCCTGACCCTTGAGGAAAACCCTAACCCTTGAGGAAGACCCTGACTCTTGAGGAAGACCCTGACTCTTGAGGAAGACCCTGACCCCTGAGGAAGACTCTGACCCTTGAGGAAGACCCTGACCCTTGAGGAAGACCCTGACCCTTGAGGAAGACCCTGACCCTTGAGGAAGACCCTGACCCTTGAGGAAAACCCTAACCCTTGAGGAAGACCCTGACTCTTGAGGAAGACCCTGACTCTTGAGGAAGACCCTGACCCCTGAGGAAGACTCTGACCCTTGAGGAAGACCCTGACCCTTGAGGAAGACCCTGACCCTTGAGGAAGACCCTGACCCCTGAGGAAGACCGGGGAGACTACCAAATGGACTGGTTCCGAGCGGCGTTTGCACAGTGTTTGTCGTTTTTGTGTTGACTATCAGTGTTGAGCAGTCGGATTGTTCGTTATTTATTCCGTGGTCTTTGGACGAGCAGTAATGAAAAGCAGCAAAAGGGAATGTCTGGCTTTGATTTCAACAATTTGAGGTTTGAAGCTGAACAGAAATGCAATCTCAACCTCACAGTATTCTATGTCTTGGTTGGAAGAATGAATAACTGAAGATTAAGAATGTGTTTGGGTCGAAGCTTTGAGAGCAGTCTGTAGAGTTTAATCGATGCCTTTTTTCAGTTTTTTGAGGTGAAGTGAACCAAAATAAGTCACTATAGAAATGATTGGAGCCTTGTTTTAGTGAGAAACAGCGCCCTCTGCTGGCAGCATCACCACAAGGTAAACAACATGGTGTGTGAGAGTGTGGCGTTGAAAAATGTTGCGTGCCTTTAGTGTCACTTGAGATGAAAAGTAGAAAATAAATTATGACGGTAAAGCAGTGTTCAGTCGGATATGTTCATTCTTTATTATGGAAGAAAAATTATTTAAAAAACTGTTGTAAAAGACAGAAAATACAATAGTCCGGTAAACCACGGTATGTCCTCAGCACCTGAATCATAATTACTGCTTTTTTTGTTACTTTTTAACCGTTTATTTCATACTTTTTTTTAACACTTAAAATGACCCTTGTAATGGGAGTATATGAGCGTTCAGAGGCCAACACTACAGAGCCTCGGCTTCACAAAGAGCCCAGGCATTTGCGTTTTTTTCTTGATTCCGTTGATTTTTGCAAACTTTTGGAATCTTACACTGTTTTCCAGATGTTCTGTTCCATGTATTTTTGTTCAGTCTCCTCGGCATCATTTTCAAAAACTAAAAATCAGACTGTTTTTAATAACATCTGGAAAAAAATATCCATAATACACATTTTTAATACAATAATAATACAGTTTATTGAATGTATTTTGTATTTTAAGTAAAAAAAAAATATGGCCAAACAAGAATGAAGGATAAAAAAAATGCTTTCCGCCTGTAATGCCCTGTGCTGCCACCAGAGGGAGGAGAAGAAACAGTTTGGCGATTGAAAAGAACTCAATTTTGCTTGAGAAATTCCCAAAAACAAATAATGGGGCAATACTTGTGTTTTAGAAATAGTGTGATGTCATAGTTTGGTTCAATGACATCACACTATTTTGTTTTTTTTCCGAAACAGAAATATTTGTATTGCCATTTAAAGTAAAACGGAAAGTCACAAACTGGGAATTAAATAAATCTTCATCCTTGGATATTGAGACCAGAACCGTTTATAGACTTTTTGACACGGTTAAAAACATCAAAAAAAGGTTAATTTGTTTTTGTTTTCAATATTGTCCCCTTTACGATCCAACCTCCAATAGGCCAAAAGTATTGCCACAGCGAAGGGCCATCACGGGGCAGAAAGAGAAAAGTCTTAGCTAAAACCATTTTAAGATCGCTACAGACATAACCTTATTGCTGTGTTTATATGTGTTTGCTACGCTATGCTAACTGCTATGCTAACTGCTATGCTAACTGCTTCCAGGGCGTCTTGAAGTGTTACAAAAACATTTAAAGCAGTTTTAATGGAGAGAAAGTTCAGTTTTTTCCCCGTTTTGCCTTTTGATGGACACAACACGAGCTGGGCTGCTTTGTGTAAATATGTACAAGAAAAGTTGTGTATTTATTTATAATATTGTGTTTGTCTGTGTGACATAAATAGATGAAGAAAGTTTTAAAAGAAATGTGTTGTTTTTCATGTTTATAGTTTTTTTAGAGGTGAGTCCTGGCGCCCGGATCACAGACTTTCTGATTGGTGAAACGGTGGAGGGCGGGACATCGAAATGAAAACAATAACAAGATTTAGAGGCTGGAAAAGTAATTTAGAAATAAAAATATCTCTGAACTACTGTCATCAGTTAAATAAGTATTGGAAAAGAGCAGTTTATTATTATGACAGATTAGGGCCCTTTAATTAAGACAGATTAGGGCCCTTTAATGATGACAGATTAGGGCCCTTTAATGATGACAGATTAGGGCCCTTTAATGATGACAGATTAGGGCCCTTTAATTATGACAGATTAGGGCCCTTAAATGATGACAGATTAGGGCCCTTTAATGATGACAGATTAGGGCCCTTTAATGATGACAGATTAGGGCCCTTTAATGACGACAGATTAGGGCCCTTTAATGACGACAGATTAGGGCCCTTAAATGATGACAGATTAGGGCCCTTTAATGATGACAGATTAGGGCCCTTTAATGATGACAGATTAGGGCCCTTTAATGACGACAGATTAGGGCCCTTTAATGACGACAGATTAGGGCCCTTTAATGACGACAGATTAGGGCCCTTTAATGACGACAGATTAGGGCCCTTTAATGACGACAGATTAGGGCCCTTTAATGACGACAGATTAGGGCCCTTTAATGACGACAGATTAGGGCCCTTTAATGGCGACAGATTAGGGCCCTTTAATGATGACAGATTAGGGCCCTTTAATGATGACAGATTAGGGCCCTTTAATGATGACAGAGTAGGGCCCTTTAATTATGACAGATTAGGGCCCTTTAATGATTACAGATTAGGGCCCTTAAATGATGACAGATTAGGGCCCTTTAATGATGACAGATTAGGGCCCTTTAATGAAAACAGATTAGGGCCCTTTAATGATGACAGATTAGGGCCCTTTAATGATGACAGATTAGGGCCCTTTAATGATGACAGAGTAGGGCCCTTTAATTATGACAGATTAGGGCCCTTTAATTATGACAGATTAGGGCCCTTTAATGATGACAGATTAGGGCCCTTTAATGATGACAGATTAGGGCCCTTTAATGATGACAGATTAGGGCCCTTTAATGACGACAGATTAGGGCCCTTTAATTATGACAGATTAGGGCCCTTTAATTATGACAGATTAGGGCCCTTTAATTATGACAGATTAGGGCCCTTTAATTATGACAGATTAGGGCCCTTTAATTATGACAGATTAGGGCCCTTAAATGATGACAGATTAGGGCCCTTAAATGATGACAGATTAGGGCCCTTTAATGATGACAGATTAGGGCCCTTTAATGACGACAGATTAGGGCCCTTTAATGACGACAGATTAGGGCCCTTTAATGACGACAGATTAGGGCCCTTTAATGACGACAGATTAGGGCCCTTTAATGATGACAGATTAGGGCCCTTTAATGATGACAGATTAGGGCCCTTTAATGACGACAGATTAGGGCCCTTTAATGATGACAGATTAGGGCCCTTTAATGATGACAGATTAGGGCCCTTTAATGATGACAGATTAGGGCCCTTTAATGTGTATCTAACGTCTATAACCCTGGGTCTACAGTGGGATGTGAACATGTGGAACAGTTTGTGCGTTTCTCTTCTTCATCGGAGGATTGTGAGTCACTGCTCCTCATCATCGCTGCAGTGTTCATGTTGAATCAGAGCAGAGCCAGGACTGGTGCAGAGAGAGAAGCTGCAACGCCACATGGAAGCATCAGGATCCACCGTCTCAAACCAAACTCAATCATAAAGAGCCGCATTATACAAAGAATGAATGTCGTAAGTAAGTAATGTTTATTTATATAGCGCCTTTCACAGACCAGAGTCACAAAAGGCTTTAGAACTGTGGGCATCTGTATCTCACGCTGCAGAGATGGGAGACAGCTCAGACCTATTGTACATGTGTTTAGTGGTAGGGGAAACCGGAGGACCCAGAGGTAACCTACGCAGACACGGGCAGAACATGCAAATTCCACTCGGAAAGGGACCTGGATTCGAACTCGGGACTTTCTTGCTAAACGTGTCACGGATAAACAAGGAAGGACCCAAAAGCAAAACTGCAAAAATAATAAAATTCAATTCATAAATGGCAGAAGAAGAAGATAAATCTGTAAAAAACCAGGAACATCGGGAAAAAACTAAACAAAAGGACGAGACGGACAGGAAGTAGAACGCACAACAAGAGAACGATGTATATGTCAGTCAGTAAGTCCCGCCCCTTCTCATCCCCACAGCTTCCTAATTGGACAAAATTAATTCAAATCCTTGCCATTGGTCGAACAGTTCTCCTCCAGCAAATATCACTGGTGGGGGTTTTGCCAAGAGGAGAGACTATATAAAACATTTAAATTCTTATCCTTATCCTACATGGTATAGGGTCACATGGTCAAAATTATTTATAGTTTGGGATAGATTAGAATTATAGATTGTTGTATAGAAATCTATTCAGTTAAGTTCCTTCTTTCTGTTTATCAATGCACTTTGACACATGACCGAGGGATCTCCACCACCTGCATAACCACAAAGGAGGAGGAATGGAGTGAGAAGGATAACACAGGAGGAGCTCAGAGTAGAGTCGCTGCTCCTCCACACACAGCAGGGCAGTGCCTAGACACCACCTGGAGGAGACCCCAGGAAGGAGCAAGGAAATGCTGGAGGGCCTATGTACCTGGTCTGGCCATGGATGGATAGGGTATTACTAGTTCTGATCAGCAGCTCTGATTGGTCAGCAATGCATCATGGGAGCTCGTCCGCTGCACAGAACCGGGAGGACCAGACGATGCCCAAATATGGACGAGTTCCCCTAATCTCTCGGAATGCCATTGATTTAAATAGGCCGCCATCTTGGATCACCGGGGCTTGGATGGAGGAAATCTGCTACAACTGCTGTCTCTGCGACCCGGCAACGGATAAAGCGGAAGAACAAGAAAACGAATGGATGGCAGTTTAACTAACCCCAGATTAACCTCTTTCCACTTCCACCGTTCAGTTCATACTCTCCCATCTCATCCTCGCACACGACACTTCTCCGTCGCTCTATCTCAGCTCTGAATACGAGTGAGCATGAGTTTCCTGGATAAGGCTAAAATTGTGCTCTTCCTCCTTTAGTCTTCGCACCGAGAGGGACGTCTTCATCATGTTTCTGTCTGTCTCAGCTGTCAGCGAGTCCGCTCTCCTCCCGACTTCACTCCAGGAACTACTCAGCTCCCATTAACATCCACTGTAAGAGAGAGAGAGAGGGAATAAGCTCCGAGAAAAGCACAGAAGAAAGGACATGACAGTTTAAAACAGAACAGGAACTGGATCTGCACATTTCAATCCGGAAAGACTTCAATAATAATCTGTGAGAATGGGTTAGAAAGATGTTTTTGAGAAATGTATCGCATGAAGGAGATTGTTTGCTGTTTTTTTTAGAACTGGCACTTTTTTAGCTTGTTTTATCCCTGTACTTTTTTATGTATTTAATAATAGTAATAATAACAATACATTTCATATATATTGCACCTTACAAAAACATAAAAAGTACTTACACAAAAACATGAAGGGGTTAAACTGTACTAGTCTTGTGCACACTGAGGACTTTTGCACATGTGAGTAAGTATGTACGGCTTATTTATATAGCGCATTTTACAGATTTTACAGACTAAGATCACCCAAAGCGCTTTAGTTCAGATAGTTTATTCTCTCCACACACAGAGAGGACAGACGCAATCTATTCCAACGTGGTTTTACTGCAAATGACAAAACAAAAAGAATGTGGACCTATTGTAGTGACGTGACATGGTGAGTTATGGTTTGGCGCGTAGACCCCGGCAGACATAGACAACAGGACCCACCACTGACCCCTGGTGGTGGTTCAAATGCAGAATAACTGACTGCAGAGGTGTGTGTTATATAGATCCATACATTTCCATCCATCCATTTTCTGCCCTTTAATCCATTTCTGGGTCAGGGGGGTGGCAGTCAGAGATGCCACCCAAGTCTCATAGCACCAGCCCCTCACTGACCCTCTGCAGGTGGTGAGTCCACAGGAGGACGGCTGCTCTCTGAGTGTGAGCATAGCCTTGATCTTTCAGTGGGGGCTTTGGGCAAAGTGGGGTTAAGTGTCTTGCCCAAGGACACAACGACAGCAGTCATCAGTGGGAGTCGGTGGAGAAGGTGCAGAGGTGGGAATTGAACCCACGACCTTCAGGCCTTAAGGCCAATGCTCTACCAACTGAGCTACTGTATCCCTCGTATTATATAGATATATAATAATAATAATATCAGTGGGATAAGAACTTAGTGAAGGAGGTGAGATAGTAACCGCCGACTTTTTAACTTCAGCTCAAGCTTCATAATACAATTTGTAGCAGTAGTAGCAGTAGCAGTAGTAGCAGCAGTAGTAGCAGTAGAAGTAGTAGCAGCAACAGCAGTAGTAGTAGCAGCAGTAGCAGTAGTAGTAGTAGCAGCAGTAGCAGCAGTAGCAGTAGCAGTAGTAGCAGTAGCAGTAGTAGTAGCAACAGTAGCAGTAGTAGCAGTAGTAGCAGTAGCAGTAGCAGTAGTAGCAGTAGTAGCAGTAGTAGCAGTAGTAGCAGTAGTAGCAGTAGCAGCAGTAGTAGCAGCAGTAGTAGCAGTAGTAGCAGTAGTAGCAGTAGTAGCAGTAGCAGTAGCAGCAGTAGCAGTAGTAGCAGCAGCAGTAGCAGTAGTAGCAGTAGTAGCAGTAGTAGCAGCAGTAGTAGTAGTAGCAGCAGTAGCAGCAGTAGCAGTAGTAGCAGCAGCAGTAGCAGTAGTAGCAGTAGTAGCAGCAGCAGTAGCAGTAGTAGCAGCAGTAGCAGCAGTAGCAGCAGTAGCAGTAGTAGCAGTAGTAGCAGCAGTAGTAGCAGTAGCAGTAGTAGCAGCAGTAGCAGTAGTAGCAGCAGTAGCAGCAGTAGCAGCAGTAGCAGCAGTAGCAGTAGTAGCAGTAGTAGCAGCAGTAGTAGCAGTAGCAGTAGTAGCAGTAGTAGCAGCAGTAGTAGCAGTAGCAGTAGCAGCAGTAGTAGCAGTAGCAGTAGTAGTAGCAGCAGTAGCAGTAGTAGCAGTAGTAGCAGTAGTAGTAGTAGCAGTAGCAGCAGTAGCAGTAGTAGCAGCAGCAGTAGCAGTAGTAGCAGTAGCAGCAGTAGTAGCAGCAGTAGTAGCAGTAGTAGCAGTAGTAGCAGTAGTAGCAGTAGTAGTAGTAGTAGCAGTAGCAGTAGCAGCAGTAGCAGTAGTAGCAGCAGCAGTAGCAGTAGTAGCAGTAGTAGCAGCAGTAGTAGTAGTAGCAGCAGTAGCAGTAGCAGCAGCAGTAGTAGCAGTAGCAGTAGTAGCAGCGGTAGCAGCAGTAGCAGTAGTAGCAGTAGTAGCAGTAGTAGCAGCAGCAGTAGCAGCAGTAGCAGTAGTAGCAGCAGTAGCAGCAGTAGCAGCAGTAGCAGTAGCAGCAGCAGTAGCAGCAGCAGTAGCAGCAGCAGTAGCAGTAGCAGCAGCAGCAGCAGTAGTAGCAGTAGTAGCAGTAGTAGCAGTAGCAGTAGCAGCAGTAGCAGTAGTAGCAGCAGCAGTAGCAGTAGTAGCAGCAGTAGTAGTAGTAGCAGCTGCAGCAGTAGCAGCAGGAGCAGTAGTAGCAGCAGCAGTAGCAGTAGTAGCAGTAGTAGCAGCAGTAGCAGTAGTAGCAGTAGTAGCAGCAGCAGTAGTAGCAGTAGCAGCAGTAGCAGCAGTAGCAGTAGCAGTAGCAGCAGTAGCAGTAGTAGCAGCAGTAGTAGCAGTAGTAGCAGTAGCAGTAGCAGCAGTAGCAGCAGTAGCAGTAGTAGCAGTAGTAGTAGCAGCAGTAGCAGCAGTAGCAGCAGTAGCAGTAGCAGTAGCAGCAGTAGCAGTAGTAGCAGCAGTAGTAGCAGTAGTAGCAGTAGCAGTAGCAGCAGTAGCAGAAGTAGCAGTAGTAGCAGTAGTAGTAGCAGCAGTAGCAGCAGTAGCAGTAGTAGCAGTAGTAGTAGCAGCAGTAGCAGCAGTAGCAGTAGTAGCAGTAGTAGTAGCAGCAGTAGCAGCAGTAGCAGTAGTAGCAGTAGTAGTAGCAGCAGTAGCAGCAGTATTATTCGAACCAATGCAAAAAACCATAAACTACATAAATGAAAGTAAAATGACTTAAAGGACAACTCACCCTCAAATCCACTTTTTTTTGCTGATAAACGGTATAAATGAGTGTCCAATAGTGTTGTCTACATATCCTGGTCATAATTTTGTCACTTTGGTGCAAATTAGTTGAAAGTTAAACTTTCTGCCTAAAACCGTCTGTGAGGCGCCATCTGCTGGCGACCTGTATTACTACATTTGAATTTTGAATCTGGCGCCAACACTGGCACAGAAGTTGGACCTGACGTCTGAAGCAAGACCTGACGTCTGAAGCAAGACCTGACGTCTGAAGCAAGACCTGACGTCTGAAGCAAGACCTGACGTCTGAAGCAAGACCTGACGTCTGCAGCAAGACCTGACGTCTGAAGCAAGACCTGACGTCTGAAGCAAGACCTGACGTCTGAAGCAAGACCTGACGTCTGAAGCAAGACCTGACGTCTGAAGCAAGACCTGACGTCTGAAGCAAGACCTGACGTCTGAGGCAAGACCTGACGTCTGAAGCAAGACCTGACGTCTGAAGCAAGACCTGACGTCAGCAGCAAGACCTGACGTCTGAAGCAAGACCTGACGTCAGCAGCCCCCTGCCCAGAGCAATGTAAACGGCCCAGTCTCGTTCACGCCCCCTTTAGTCCTCCAGGCCACGCCCATTTAGAGGAAGATTTGAACAGGAAATGTGAGCTCCGAGGAGCGGGGGTGAGAACCACTTTAAAACGACTTCTCACTGAACCATTTGTTTTTTTTATTATAACACTGATATTTAATAAAAACTGCAAATGTGTTAGAATCAGTTTGTTTTTGTATCGCCCAAAATCACATCCAACATTTGCAAACACAACACAACTCCACGTCAGCTGCTGTGACGTCATTCATCATGACGTAATTCAGGCACGTTCCCTCTGATGACGCCTGCAGTGTGTTTCTCTGCCACTAGAGGGAGCACGAGTCTGAGTTTCACTGCTGTACGTGCAGCAGAGGCAGAGGATCATGTTTTACACTCTGCTTTTTATTTATTTATTTGATATGGACACAACATTTACAGGACAGACTTTGTAACGTTGGTTAGGTATGACAATTTTTATATATTTTTTGTCCCTGTGTTATTTATTTTGACTGTATTTTATCTGTGCCTTATCTGTATTGAATATGAGGGCAATGTATGTTTGAGGGCAAAAATGTATGTTTTTCTATGTGTGTTTTGTAATACTGGGATCTCAGGAAGGTTAGCAACCACATCAGAGGAAGCTAATGGGGACCTCTGATAAACAACAAACATTAAACATTAAACCAGATGCACTGCCTTTAGTGCTATAGACCAATGCTAACTTTCAACACTTCCACAGGAGGTTTTTAGGACATACACAAAACACAGAAACATAATCAAACATACAATTAATCATCCGTCCATTTTCTTCCCCTTAATCCATGTCTGGGTCGGGGGGCCTTCACAGAGCACCAGCCCCTCACTGATCCTCCTGCAGGGGCTGAGTCCACAGGAGCTGAGATCTTTCAGCAGGGGCTTCAGGCAAAGTGGGGTTAAGTGTCTTGCCCAAGGACACAACGACAGCAGACATCAGTGGGAGTGACAATTAATCAGCTGTGCAATTAATTAAATATGTGAAGAATGTTGTTCCAATTTCAGCCACAGTTTCAGGCGTCTGAAGGTCGACATTTATTCAGTTATTAATGTACTATTACTTACTATTTGCATGTTCTCCCCATGTCTGCGTAGGTTTTCCTCCGGGTGCTCCAGTTGGAAATGAGCCCAAAGCTTTAATCCGGAGTGATGTATTCATTTACATGTACAGTCACAACTAAGCAACAACCTAAAAAAACAAAAACTCCTGGTATATTTAGTATAAGCCAGCAGAGTAGTATCCATCCATTCATGATACACAGAGTAAACACACAGAGTAAACACACAGAGTAAACACACAGAGTAAACACAGGACGACTACACTGGGAAAGACTGATTGTAGATACTGTCACTCATTGTAGGTCAGGGTCAAGGCCAAGTGACTGTCACAAAGTGCTTTCCAGACATTACTAAATTCAACACACACATAAAATACAGCCTTAAATAAAGTACAGGCCCACTATCATCAAAGGAAGTAAGTCATGTTGATTTATATAGCACATTCTACAGACCAAGGTCACCCAAAGCACTTTACAATGTTCACAAGTGTCACCATTGCTTGAGCAAAGAAATGTGTCTTAGTAGTAGATTCATTCATATCATTTTGTTCACCTTATAATCCATCCATCCATCCATCTTCCCCTTTATCCATTTCGGGGTCGGGGGTTGGCAGTCACAGAGCACCAGCCCCTCACTGACCCTCTGCAGGTGCTGAGTCCACAGGAGGCTGCTCTGTCAGTGTGAGCATGGCCTTGATCTTTCAACGGGGGCTTTTGGGCAAAGTGGACACAACAACAAGGACACAACGACAGCAGTCATCAGTGGGAGTCGGTGGTGAAGGTGTCAAGGTGGGAATTGAACCCGCAACCAACTGAGCTAATGTTGCACCCTAACCTTATAATAATAACTTAAAACTTTCCTCATATTTATGGATAATCCCGATCGTGCTGCAAAACCAAACACAATGGAGTGTGTTAATAATGCAGGGCTCTTCCCCCGAGTGGAGCCAGGACCCGAGTGAAGCCAGGACCCGAGTGAAGCCAGGACCCGAGTGAAGCCAGGACCCGAGTGAAGCCAGGACCCGAGTGGAGCCAGGACCCGAGTGAAGCCAGGACCCGAGTAAAGCCAGGACCCGAGTGAAGCCAGGACCCGAGTGGAGCCAGGACCCGAGTGAAGCCAGGACCCGAGTGGAGCCAGGACCCGAGTGGAGCCAGGACCCGAGTGAAGCCAGGACCCGAGTGAAGCCAGGACCCGAGTGGAGCCAGGACCCGAGTGGAGCCAGGACCCGAGTGGAGCCAGGACCCGAGTGGAGCCAGGACCCGAGTGAAGCCAGGACCCGAGTGAAGCCAGGACCCGAGTGAAGCCAGGACCCGAGTGAAGCCAGGACCCGAGTGAAGCCAGGACCCGAGTGAAGCCAGGACCCGAGTGGAGCCAGGACCCGAGTGGAGCCAGGACCCGAGTGGAGCCAGGACCCGAGTGGAGCCAGGACCCGAGTGGAGCCAGGACCCGAGTGGAGCCAGGACCCGAGTGAGCCAGGACCCGAGTGGAGCCAGGACCCGAGTGGAGCCAGGACCCGAGTGGAGCCAGGACCCGAGTGGAGCCAGGACCCGAGTGGAGCCAGGACCCGAGTGGAGCCAGGACCCGAGTGGAGCCAGGACCCGAGTGGAGCCAGGACCCGAGTGGAGCCAGACCAGTGGAGCCAGGACCCGAGTGGAGCCAGGACCCGAGTGGAGCCAGGACCCGAGTGGAGCCAGGACCCGAGTGGAGCCAGGACCCGAGTGGAGCCAGGACCCGAGTGGAGCCAGGACCCGAGTGGAGCCAGAACCCGAGTGGAGCCAGGACCCGAGTGGAGCCAGGACCCGAGTGGAGCCAGGACCCGAGTGGAGCCAGGACCCGAGTGGAGCCAGGACCCGAGTGGAGCCAGGACCCGAGTGGAGCCAGGACCCGAGTGGAGCCAGGACCCGAGTGGAGCCAGGACCCGAGTGGAGCCAGGACCCGAGTGGAGCCAGGACCCGAGTGGAGCCAGGACCCGTGCCAGTAAAATAATCTGTTCTGGTTCAATCCAAATATGAGAAATGTTTAGTAAATGTCATTGAAGCAGAGATGTCGTGGCTCTACTCCCCACGGGCTCCGTTAGTGGCAAAGAAGATGGCTAAAGTTAGGCTACATGCTAAAGCTAGGCTACATGCTAAAGTTAGGCTACATACTAAAGCTAGGCTACATGCTAAAGCTAGGCTACATGCTAAAGCTAGGCTAAATGCTAGCAACTCACTCGGGCTCATTACATACAGTACGTCACAGTAAACTCAGATCCAATCGTATGAATAGTCCAACAGTTCGAAATGTAATTAGTGCGACGGTGTGGTACAACATTCTTTGGACTTTTCATATTTTGTGATATTTCTGACTTTCACTGAGTTTATATGTTGTATTTATTTACTACATACTAATACATACTCTCTACACACTGAATACCGCCCCTTTAAACACTTATGTAATCGTCTGCTGTGATTCATGACATCCCACTGAGATACAGCACACGCACTGGTCCTTTAATACATCATAATCCTGTGTATGATCAAAGCCCCTGGTGTTTGGTAAATGGGCCGCGAACCCAATGAACTCTGAGTAACTCCAGCCGCTGTGCATCAAACACACACGTGACCAGTCCACGTTTAATTATAGTAACATGCTTCTTCTTCTTCTTTGTCTTCTTCTTCCTCTTCTTCATCTTCATCTTCTTCTTCCTCTTCTTCCTCCTTCTGTTCTTCCTCCTCTTCATCTTCTTCTTCCTCTTCTTCTTCTTCTTCTTCTTGTCCTTCTTCCGCTTCCTCTTCCTCCTCTTCCTCGTCTTCCTCCTCTTCCTCTTCCTCTTGTGGCCACTCACAGCAGCCGGATCCCGATGCTGCGTCAGCCCAGATGCGGCGCAGATGCAGAGGTGCTGGAGGGGACCGGAGAACTCTGCGTGACCGTGGGAGTGATGCATGCTGGGATAATGTGTTTCTTAGAGAGAGAAAAAGAGGGAGGGGGGGGGGGGGGGGGGGGGGTGGACAAATATAACCGCTGCTTAAGGCGGGTGTACGTAGAAACACCAGGGAACTGCCATTATACGCGTCCGCCAGTCAAGGTTATGGTGCATTATGGGAGGACGATGGGGTGGACTGCATTTCCCATCATGCCCCTGGGTTTGGTAGTCCATGCAGTTTGAACAGAGGCACATCTGGTCTAAGAATGGGGAGATTCTCAGTGCATCTCAACATAGGCAAGGCAAGTTTATCTGTATAGCACAGTGCATACACAATGCCTCTCAGAGTGTATATAAACACAACACAAGGCGTTCAAATCAGAAATAATCAGAGTATATTAAGAATAGTGAAGATACAGTGTAGCACCGCTAAAACCTGGATTTAAACATGGTCAGAGAAGAAGCCTGTCTCACATTTTCAGGAAGACCGTTTCAGATTGTAGCCTTCCCATGTTTAGTTCTGACTGGGAATAGCACTGAGGCACACACAACACAAGATAAGAGAAAGGTAAGAATTGCACAACAAAAATACAATAAAAATCTCTATAACCGGAATTGTTGAAATTACAATTTACCTTTCATTTTTGCTTAGTATTTTTTCATACCTTGCCACTTTTTATAATTCAGGCTAATTCCCACTGAGCAAAAACCCTGAGCTAAGACACAAAAACCTCAGGTCGCGTCTTGGTTGCACTGAGGTGGTGGGTTGAAGAGTCTGCATTTAACCCGCTTTGTGACGCAGTTTTTTTGCTGAAGAAATGCTGTAATTAAAACCAAATTGTTTTATAGCCCGTTGCTTTCATGTGGGTCAGAGGAAGAGAATTAAATGAATAAAAAGTCAGTTTGTTATGACCTCTTTTTGACACGTGTCTGAGGTGAAAAACCGACACGGGTCCAAAGAACACGCCAATCATTCCCACTGTTTGCTCGGTCAACATGGTTTTTCTATATGGGTCAAAAATAACAGGTCTTGATAATAATAAAATCCTCTTCAGTAATTTGAGATCATCCACAAAAAAAATCTTAAACTCAGGAAATACTTTAGACTGATCTACTAATTATCAGGGATTTTGGGCATGTCTTGTTCGTGTAAAGTCATAAAAAAAACAAATCTTTGAAAAAGTCATATCATAATTTCATCTTTAAGTCGATAGTTATCAGGGGTCCCACAAGGTTCTGTACTCTGACCTTTGCTTTTGTAATGATGTATGAACCAAAATACAATAAATTAGAAAGTGTACTTTATAATCATTTGTCTAAAGAGGCAGACTTCTTTTTAAAACAATAATAATGTGTCTGTGTTTGAAACTCGGGGTCCCCCAAGGTTCTGTACTCGGCCTTTTACTTTTGTATTAAAACGTTTTCTTTTTAACCTTTTACCTGAAGGGTCCTCTCCATAAACACATGATTGATTTCTCTGCAATCTTCCACAATATTTAACTAGATTGAACCCTTAATCCTTCATCTTCATGCAAATCAACGCGGTTTTTATGCCACGCTATCATCGACAAAGCCCATAAAGATCTCCAAGGTCACCAGAAGGGAACGCTTTACCACCGATGCACCACACCTCTCATTAGACATTGTTAACCACTACAAAAACGCACACTCGTATCTGTCCGAGGCATAAATCTGCATTGTTTTTCCCCTTGTCACAAATGAGCACATTACACTCGCTGTCCTTCGGCTCAGTGTCGCTGTGAGTGATGGGAGCAGCTCATTAAGCCTCCGTAAAGAAACCATACATCAAAACTCTGCGTCGGAATCAGCCGGATTACGACCTTTTCCTCGCAAACTGCCGAGTCAGCGAGCAGCCAGAGGACAAACAAATGAGCAGCCATCAACTTGTATTATGGTGTGGTGTTACCGCGGTTACGCCTCCTGCTGGGGTAGGTGTTTCCATGTTGTAGGACTCCATCATAAACGGCTGAAAGTATGTGTTGAAATGACCGAGAAGAGAAACGGTTAAGTTTTCATTATAGGGTGTGTGTATTGGAGAAAGCAGGGAATCTGAGGCACTCTTGACAGCAAATAAAAATCCGTTAATGAGCAATAAATATAGTATATGGGGGTATATTGACGGATCTGCAATGTAAGTGAATGGGAACCAGATTGAGTGGGAGAAAAACTTTGCCCATGAGCGCTTCACTATAGGCTTTGTGTTAGTGCGTTTGCTTACGTGTTGGAGATACTTTTTCCTACACACCTGCCGGCTTCTAAACACAGAATATTAGCACCAATAAAAAAGGGGAACTAGAGAATTATGTAGAAATATTTATAAGCTAGTTTGGGTTCACACACTGATTTTGACCAATGGGAAGTCTTCAAATATCAGCCCATGAAAGAATCAGATGGTCTTACTGATCTATGGAACTGTCCAACCCTAGTCTGTGGTGCACAGCAACGACTCCCTAGAGCAGGGGTGTCCAAACTTTTTAGCAAGAGGGCCACTTTAGTTCACCTGTACTTGTCCAGGGGCCGACAACACCGATTGTAGAACTGTTTCGACTGGAATTGGTCTATTTTGAGATGTTAAAGGAGAATAATGACATCTAAAGCCTATCAAAAATCCTAGAACGTGCCGTCATAACCCAAGTTCAGCAATACCTCCACACCTTCTCGCTCTTTGAAATTTTCCAATCCGGTTTCCGTCCCCATCACAGCACTGAAACAGCCCTCCTAAAAGTATCCAACGATCTTCTCCTTGCAGCTGACTCCGGTTCCCTTTCCATCCTCCTCCTCCTTGACCTCTCCGCAGCATTTGACACCATCGACCACTCTATCCTCCTCCACCGTCTTCAATCTATTGGCATCTCCAACACTGTTCTATCCTGGTTTTCCTCATACCTCTCCGACCGTCATCATTATGTTTCCATTAACAACTGCACATCCCAAACCTTCCGTGTCTCCACTGGTGTTCCCCAAGGTTCGGTACTGGGCCCCCTCCTCTTCATCATTTACATGCTTCCCCTTGGCCACATCATCCGTCACCATGGACTACACTTTCACTGCTACGCTGACGACACCCAGGTCTACATCTCCACCAAATCCATCTCCCCAGTCATCCTCTCCACCATCACACACTGCATCTCTGACATTAAATTCTGGATGGACCACAATTTCTTGAAATTAAATAGCAATAAAACCGAACTCCTCATCACCGGACCCAAGTCATTCCTTCCCTCTGCTCAAAACATCTCCCTCAACATTGACGGACACACAGTCACTCCCTCCTCCTCTGTACGCAACCTCGGCGTTATTATGGACTCCACCCTCTCCTTTAGACCCCACATTAACCTCATCTCCAAAACATCATTTTTCCACCTCCGTAACATCGCTCGCCTCCTCCCCTCTCTCTCTCAATCCTCTGCTGAAATACTGGTTCATGCCTTCATCACCTCTAGACTTGACTACTGCAATAGCCTCCTCTTCGGTCTCCCTTCCACACATCTTCAAAAACTACAATACATTCAGAACTCCGCCGCCCGCCTTCTCACCCACACCCGCTCCAGAGATCACATCACCCCTGTCCTCAAACAACTCCACTGGCTCCCTGTCCCATACCGCATCCAATACAAGGTCCTCCTCCTCACCTACAAGTCCCTCCATAACCTGGCCCCCTCTGACCTCACTGACCTCCTCCATCATCACTGTCCCCCCCGCCGTCTCAGATCCACAGACTCCAACCTCCTCACTCCCCTCAGGACTAAACACCGAACCTTGGGGGACCGAGCCTTCGCTGCAGCTGCCCCCACTCTCTGGAACTCACTCCCTCAACCCGTCAGAAACTCAGACTCACTACAGAACTTTAAATCTCTCCTAAAAACCCACCTGTTTCATCTGGCCTTTCCTTAATTTTGTTTTTCAATGTTTATTTCTACGTGTTTTGTAAAGCGTCTTTGAGTGTCCAAAAAAGCGCTATATAAGTTTGATGCATTATTATTATTATTATTATTATTAAAGCGTATTAGAGTGTTCAAAAAGCACTATAAAAAACAATACATATCATTATTATTTGTGATCACGATGGTACTTTGGGTTAGCAAGGCGGAGGGCCACATAACAGGATGTAGTGGGCCGCGATTGGACCTCAGGCCTGAGTTTGGACGTGCCTGCCCAAGAGTGATTTTGTGAATACTTTACCTACATTCACTAATTCCTTACAGATGCAGGAGGGTCTAAGGACGGTGATAAAATTTGAGGACATTTATGAACATTGGTCTCATCCCACTCCCTATGGACCCCTATGGACCCCCCCCCCCCCCCCCTCTGCCCCCAAACCCCCCCTGCCTGGGAGCTGCCTCAGTCCTGCATCACATCTGTCCTTGTGTGGCCTGAGTCCTGGATCTATGGTCCGTTCGTTGAAAGCAGATCACTCTCTCAATGTGGGTCTCCCTGAGGTTTCTCACCTTTTCCCACTGGGTTCTCGAGTTGTTCCTCTGATGCAGGATTTTGTTGGACTTTTGTCTGGGTCGAACTAAAAGGACAGTGGTGATGATCCAGGACACTCAACATTCTTCAACATTTACAGACATTGGTCTCTGCCTCTTATGGACCAATGTGTTTTTTAATGATTGCATTTCTCTGTTCGATTCTCTGATCTGTTGTTGGCGAATTCAAGGGTTTAGTAAAGTCCTCTGAGATCAATACTGTTGTGATTTACGGCGATACAAGAAGACATTGAATTGAAAACGATGTGTTTGTTATCACTGCATTTCCTGCGTTCAAACTCTTCCAATTCTCCAATCTGTTGTTGAGGAATCGACAGACTGCTACTATCATGATTACGAGCTATACAAAACACATGAATCTTAATAAAAATAGTTCCAACCTCCTTCCCACGCCATGAATCCCTCTGGGGGCACATGTCAACCCCAAAATATACTGTATATATATATATGTCAGTACCATGCGGTCATACGCCTGGCCTATTCCCGGACCGTAAACAGATCCACAAACATATAAATACCAGCAGCACATGTGAGAGTCTGAATGAAGGCCAAGGCTCTGGGATCATGTGCTCTCTGTCTAACTGTTCTCTGTCCGTCTTCATTAAAACTATATTCAAACGGCTGAGGGGGGGGTCGAGGGCCAGGGGGGGGGGGGGGGCTGTTGGAAAGGTTGAAGAGAATACGATACCCTTCATGGCTGATATTGTGGTGTGAAAAGAGTCTGAGGACGAGGAGGTGTGTGACCGCTGGACGACCGCTGACTGACTCTAACTTTTTGACATTTTGTTTTCTTTCTGTGGTTAGAAAACAATGTGGGTGTAAAGTTCTCACGGGTGTTGAAAGTGTTGAACGTGTGCAGGTCGTTTGGGGAGTGATGCCATGAAAATATAGAATAAAAACAACAGATTTCAAGCTCGGTGTGAACTGCAAAAATAGATTAAAGTAAAAAATTTGCTCGAATTTGGTTAAAAATGTGGCTTAATTTCAACACATTTTGACTGAAAACACGATTTGCCAAATGGAAAGGGGAAATAAAGCAGCTCAGTTGGTAGAGCATTAGCTTTTGAGCCTGAAGGTCGTGGGTTCGAGTCCACCATGAGACCTACTCAACTGACTCCCACTGATGTCTGCTGTCGTTGTGTCCTTGGGCAAGACACTTAACCCCACTTTGCTTGAAGCTCCCGCTGATAGAGTTTTTTGGTCCATTGGAGAATCTGGTTTTAACACAGAATGAACTCAGATTAAGATGAACCCTTTAACATTCACAGTGAAAAATAATCTGTTTTAACTCCTATTATTTTAAGTATAAAGTCTTTAACAAATGGTTGAAATGCAGGTTGATGTAAAACTGCCTGAGACCAAGTGATTACAGTTCCAAGCATAAAAGTAGAAACAGTAACTCTGAAGCTGATCCACCAAATGGTTATTATCTCATTTTTGCTATTTTTTTTGCAGTGTGTGAGATGATTGGACTGTATTTTAGTTTGGTATGGCCCTAAATCACAACAACATTTATCTCACTTAGACAAATTAGGGCGGGTAGAAAGATGTTGAATTGCCAAAGAATCTCCAGGGTTCAGAAGGCTTACGTCGCAGGTGTCAAAGTCAAGGCCCAGGAGCCAGATCCGGCCCACGAGACCATTTCCAGTGGCCCTTGAGATGATTTTGAATAATTATATTAAATGGCAGCATTAATGGTAATAGGCGACAATGGCATGTTATCCATTACTAAGAAAACAAACATAACATTTAATTCCATAAGAAAAGTTAAGCCAACATGTAGAAGTTAGTTTTATCATGTTTTATGTTTACGAGTCTTCAATGACATTACTTCTTAAAGATATGAAGGATGATTTCCCAATTTTCTCAGAAAAGAACCGCCCTCTCCCCTTTTTTAAACAAAACTTTCTGCTCTTATTGGACGAGCACGAATCACCAGAATGATTGACAGTTGGGAGGACCAATAGTCTTGATGATCCACCCGGAAGTAGAAAATCTTCCTATATACCTTCAATATTTGGTCCAGTTTTGGTTCAGTTTTGGTTCAGTTTTGGTCCAGTTTTGGTTCAGTTTTGGTTCAGTTTTGGTCCAGTTTTGGTTCAGTTTTGGTTTAGTTTTGGTTCAGTTTTGGTTCAGTTTTGGTTCAGTTTTGGTTCAGTTTTGGTTCAGTTTTGGTCCAGTTTTGGTCCAGTTTTGGTCCAGTTTTGGTTCAGTTTTGGTTCAGTTTTGGTTCAGTTTTGGTCCAGTTTTGGTTCAGTTTTGGTTTAGTTTTGGTTCAGTTTTGGTCCAGTTTTGGTTCAGTTTTGGTTCAGTTTTGGTTCAGTTTTGGTTCAGTTTTGGTCCAGTTTTGGTTCAGTTTTGGTCCAGTTTTGGTTCAGTTTTGGTTCAGTTTTGGTTCAGTTTTGGTTCAGTTTTGGTCCAGTTTTGGTTAAGTTTTGGTTAAGTTTTGGTTAAGTTTTGGTTCAGTTTTGGTTCAGTTTTGGTTCAGTTTTGGTTTAGTTTTGGTTCAGTTTTGGTCCAGTTTTGGTTCAGTTTTGGTCCAGTTTTGGTTCAGTTTTGGTTCAGTTTTGGTCCAGTTTTGGTTCAGTTTTGGTTCAGTTTTGGTTCAGTTTTGGTTCAGTTTTGGTTCAGTTTTGGTTCAGTCCACAGAAACTGAACTAATTCTAATCAGAAAAGAACGTCCAATTTAACTAATGTGAAAGAAGTCATTTATTTAGACACCTTCATATTCATATAAATGAAACCCACTTATTCTGTCGGCCCCTGACCAGCCTTTTCATTTTTCTATTCGGCCCTTAACCAAAATAAGTGTGATACCCTTGGCTTACGTGGTCAACAACAGTTAACAAAGAAGTGAAAACAAAAACAATGCAAACTATGATTCATTATGAGATAAAAAAACCACTTGAATCAAGTGGTTTTTATCTTAATCTGACACATTCTGACTTTGTTTAAACTAGATTCTTCAATGGGACAAAGCCATTTCATCTCATTCCAAGGAAAACAAGATCATTTTGCTTTGTCCCATTGGTAAATCTTGTTGTAAACGCAGTCAGAACATTTTGCCAATTTTTAGCAATTATTGGGTAATTTTTCATCTCTTTTTGCAGTGTGTAGGTCTGTTTATTCCTCCTTTTCCTCAGGTGAGTCCAGTCTTCTGTTGTGCTGCTGCTTGGTTGGAATTAAAACTTTGAGGACGAATTTGACCCACACCCAGCTCCAAACCCATCACGTCCGCAAATGTTTCATTATAAAGTAAACCACTATTTTTAATCTTGCTGCTGTTGATTAAACTTTCTCTTCGTCTTTCAGGCTCTTCCTGTTTCTTGAGCAGTGACACTTTGCACAAACTCAAAGTCAAAGAGCACACACTTAATCCTGCTCATTCATATTGATACAGTCTCTCTTCTTCTTCTTCTTCTTCTTCTTCTTCTTGGTCTGACCTCTGCGTCCTCCTCTGGCTTCACATCAGAGTGGTCTTTGTGGCATCAATACAGTTCATATACAGAAGGTTTACCTAAAGTCCAAGGTGCTGTAGTTTAAAACAACCTCAGAGAAAAATACACGTTTTTTATGGGTCAAAAAAAAAGTTACATCTCAGTATATGTGTTTTATTTCAATCTGGGACATGTCAATCTAAGAAGTTTCAAGATTCAGTGTAAATTCTGACATTCTGACTGAGCATTAAAAGAAAATGATCTTCTTTTAAAAATAAATCTTAAATAAAAATAAATAAATGTTTTGTCTTTGAAGCAAGAATTAAAGGAGCAGTGTGTAAACATGTGGTCTAAAGTGGTACTGCAGCCTCTCCCACTCTCCCTGACTCAGGTTGCCAGATATGCAGACGAATCCAGCTGGGACCATAACAGCTGAATAGACAAGAGTTTTGTCAACAACAAATCTATAACCAACACCTTTTTCACAAAGATAGAAATCCTGGTTTTATTCCTTGTTTTGTTGTTAATGATTTGAGAATCATAACGAGACCTTTTTTAGTTCTGCGCCACATGGTACTTTACCAGTGAGATTAGCTCCTTCTTTAGCTAAGTCTTTAGAGCATATTTTATCGAGCCAACAGGTGTCACCGGCACTGCCTCTGGATGTTGAGAAACATTGAACCAGTCCGGCCCTCGGCGCGTAGCAAACATTTATTTTTGGCCCTCTGATGTATTTGACTTTGACATGCCTGGTCTAAATCAATAACAAAGGCCCACATCTATGACCAGCCACATTCTCCACTTCTCGTTTAAAGCTAAGTGTTTGTTATGAAAACAAGCGGCGGACGCCAAAGCTCGTAGTAAGCACCTTTACGCCGTGGTCGCCCGTCATCCCTGTTTACTCCACACAAACCCGGCCACCCATCAACACATTTAGCCACTCGGCGAAAATAAAGAAGCCCAAGGTTAAAATCCGGGTCAAGGTGGAGTCTATACAGAGCCTGACTCATGGAGAATGCGGCGCCCGTGAAGAGGCGGCCATTTTGGAACGTCCGGTTGACCAGATCTGCAGCCAAGGTCGTAAACGCAGAGACAAACGTGGACGTGGGGCATCTTGGTATGTCCTTTTTCATCACGCACATAAATCTGGGACGTTTATCGGCGACGGGAAACTTAAGATCTGACATTCACTGAGAAGGGTCCAGTCCCAAATGATTTAATATGTATTAAAGCCACTCGGTGTAAGTTTTACAGTTGCTTCAAATGGAAAAACACGTTAAAACAATAACAAATGTGACCTTTTTAAGAATATTTACCTTCATCATGTTTTTGAGTTGTTTTCATAGGCTCAGAATTGGACTTATAAATGTCCATGCGCCTTTCTGTTTTCTGTTCAGGTTTTAGAAAATCCGATAACTCCGGTGCACTCGTGAGAAACAGGAAGTGGGTGAAGGGGGTAAACGCATCCCATTGGTTTGTTGGCAATGAACGACTCCCATTGGTTCATTTTTATCAGTCCGCTCCAACTCACCCAACCCTCCACAAACCTCCCACAGACACAGAATGACGTTGTGTTTTTTCATATACAGTATTTATTCTGCGCTGGCTCCTGTCTCCTCCCTCTGTGTGGAGAGCCGTGTCCTGAACCTCATGTTGAAACACCTCTGCGCTCTCAGCAGTACTGCATGTACCAGTAAACACACAGAACACAGGTATTTATAGTCCGCCCTCACCCGCTTCCTTCTGTGTGTGCGCTTCCCCCTGTTTCCCCCTCCACAGCCTCAGACCAATGTGTGGACCTGGGCAGAAACCATTGTGAAAGAAGTCAGCGTGAGTTTGAGAGATTGACCCTGTCCCAAAACCCACAGTGCACCTCTGCACCCTACACTCCTCTACGAAGTGTGCATGTGTTTGAAGCAAGGGTTTGAGTGACAGGTTACAGCAGAAAAGGCAGAATTGGGACAGTGCAGGTGACATCATCGACTCGTCAGAGATGGTCATTTTCAGACCTAAACTATGTGTTTTTTTTCATATCATTTTCAACCCCTTTGTCCATTTCTGGGTCAGGGGGGGGGGGGGGGGGGGGCAATGAGAGCTGCCCCCAACGCTCATAGCACCAGTCCTTCTGATCTTCTGCAGGGGGTGAGTCCACAGGAAGATGGCTGCTCTGTCAATTGTGAAACAGCCTTGATCTTTCAGTGGGGGCTTCAGGCAAAGTGGGGTTAAGTGTCTTGCCCAAGGACACAACGACAGCAGTCATCAGTGGGAGCAGTTGGAGTAGGTCCCATGGTGGGAATCAAACTCACGACCTTCAGGCCCAAAGGCCAATGCTCTACCAACTGAGCTACTGTCGCCCCGACCTAAACTTTATACGTAAACATTAAAGGTCGTTTGGTCTGATGCTGTGGGAAACAAAATGAGTTGCTCCAAACACGTTAAAATAAATGTATATTGGTTACATTTACAGCATATATAATTCAAAACTTACACTTAAATGCATTTTCCCAACGTTTTGTTGTTTACCGCAAAGAATTATGGGCAATATCCTTCGCCAGAGTCCGCTTAGAGGCAGGCTACGGCGAAGTGTGGATCAGGGGCGCAAAGGGGGCGGGGCCAAAGACCTCCCTGGAGAATTGGGACTGGACCCTACGCACTCGCACCCATCATCGGGAACAAATGAGGGGCGCCAGGTTGGAAGTGCGAGTGTTGGGACTGGACCAGAGAGCAAGCGACAGACACAGAGGAACTCAGACAAAGACAGGAAGTGGTTATGATGCTTTAGTTTCGGGGAGCATGTTACAGGAGGAAGTCAGCACACTATAAACAAATAACAAAATATAAATGATGTGTTTTTTGTCGTTTATGCTTATTTCAGTTAGTGCTGGTGTCATTTATTTCTCATTCCAAGGAACACATTTCTTGTATTTTGCACATTTTTGCTTGTCCCATTGGAAAATCATGTCCTTAGACGGTCCAGATGTGCTCGAATCAAGCCTATTACTTTATTTTAGGTATTTTTTGCAGTGCAGAAGTAAATCCACTTCAAAAATGATAAATTGTGAGGTGATAAAAGCTTGAATTTAGTGTTTTTTGTCTTAATATGAGCGCGTTGTGATTCTCCAACGAGACAAAGTCATTTAGTCTTATAACTGTTTATTTATTTTCATTCAAAGGGAGACATTTCTGTATCTTTTTTAAACAAAATCATTTCTTTGTCCCGTTGGAGGATCTTATTTAAGGCTCAGTCTGAATGTGCTCAGATTAAGACAATATTTTTCCAAATTTGTAACGCAAACTATCAACATGTTTAAACACACACACACGCGCACACACACTCGCACGCACACAAACACGCACACACACGCATACACACACATACACCCGCACGCACGCGCACACATACCCGCACGCACATGCACACGCACGCACGCGCACACACACACGCGCACACACACGCACTCTCACACACATTATGGGGTATGCGCTCTTCAGTCTTCAGTCTTTATGCACTATACAGTGAGTCACTGAAGACATTATAACAACAAATACAATGTAAAAGCTGAACCTTCTTTTGGCAAACCAAATCAGGATTTAACTAGAGCTGGACCAGATTTCAACCACGTGTCCTCACCGCGGGACCACAGGAGACCCAGTCTTTGTTGCATCACCGGTTACAGAACAGTCGGAAAGAGAAGCACTAAGTGTAAAACTACTGTCACAGATCACATGCAGTGTTGCCAACTCCTCAGTAAGGAAAGTAGCTATTGGCTGTCCCAAAAGTCGCTAGAAGTCGCTAAATGACGTCATCGCCTAATTTGCATAATTCGCAATTTGCAAATAACTGTAACGACGCTGTAGGAGAGAGGAATAACGTCGTGGGAGAGACAAAAGTGAGTAAAAAAACACCCTAAATATGTTTAGAACTACAAATGTACAAAAATAATTTCAACATTAACAACATTTAATGATTTTAATGCTTTGTCTAGATCTGTCGCTAGTTGCTTTTTTGAAAAAAAAAGTCGCTATAGGGTCTGAAAAGTCGCTAAATCTAGCGACAAAGTCGCTGAGTTGGCAACACTGATCACATGACCATCATCCACGTCGCTCTCTGGTCTCAGTTTGCTTATGGACTTCAGACCGGGCCGGACACACTCTCCTGGACCCAGACCCCCTGTCCCGCGGCTGGGGGCTGGGGTCTGAGGGGCCAAGTCCACACCCCACATACACGAGATCTCGGACCGTCGGCACTGATTGAAACAGAGCTCTAAACAGCGGGGGGTGGGCTAGATTTACACCGGTGGTCTTAGGTCACTGTGCGAAAGGCCAGGGCGCCCCGACAGATATACTGCACCTGGACGTTTATTATCGGTCTGTGGATGGGTTACTATGACTTTAATTCATTTCAGTTGTTTCAAAATGTCTGTGACGACGTCAGAAACACAGGGATATTACAGAACAATATATATTACTATTGTCAGGATGTGTACTATACTGTAGAAGCACATGGGTCACTGTCACTGTGTCCCGGAGCCTCATGCTAATGCTAACATGTACAGATGCTATTATGCTAAAGCTAGAGATTTTATGCTAGCTTCTTTATTATGCTAAAGCTAGAGATGTTATTCTAGCTTCTTTATAATAATAATAATAATAATGCATCAAACTTATATAGCGCTTTTTTGGACACTCAAAGACGCTTTACAAAACACATAGAAATAAACATTGAAAAACAAAATTAAGGAAAGGCAAGATGAAACAGGTGGGTTTTTAGGAGAGATTTAAAGTTCTGTAGTGAGTCTGAGTTTCTGACGGGTTGAGGGAGTGAGTTCCAGAGAGTGGGGGCAGCTGCAGCGAAGGCTTTATTATGCTAAAGCTAGAGATGTTATGCTAGCTTCTTTATTATGCTAAAGCTAGAGATGTTATACTTAGTTTAGCAGCTTCCAACCAGTTTTCTCCAATGCTTTATCCAAAAGTATGTATAGTTTTCTGACCTTCTTCACATGATGTAGACAGCTGTAGTCTCTGTCTTGTATTTTTGCCATGTGAAAGTATTTTTGTCCACATGAAAAATTGTCTGTGGCTAATTCTGGCTTTTTTTTTAAACTCTAGTTTATTCTGCATTTTAATAAATGTCATTGTTTCCTTTCAAATGAACTAAACTGAAACTGAAAACGGTTTTGTTTGGTGTCAAAGCTTTGCCATGTTTGGAGGGTCCACAGTAATCATGAACTAGACTGTGAGGCGGGTTAAATGTGGTGTTGTTTTGACTCTTCAGCTCGTCTCACAGTGAATCTATAAATAGATTTGTAGAAATACTTCATACTAATCCTGAGGCAGCACAGAGCGGCTGAGGGCAGACTCCACAGGCCCCGAAACAACATCATTTTGACGGACAGATTGAAATGAACTTTTTAAAGTAATTAATCTGTTTTTTAATTTTTTTTTAATTTTTTTTTTTATTTATTAATTTATTTCAGGCAATGGCAAAAGTGAGAAAACGAGGTAATTAAAAGCAATTAAGTAATATAAATAATATAAAGCAAAAAACAAAACAGACAAACACAATAAAAAAACAAACAAACAAAAAAACAGTGTAAACAAAAAATGTATAAACAAAAATCTATGGTTTAACATGGCCATATATTTCTTATATCTTATTTTTTATGAAGCACATTTTATAGACCAAGGTCACACAAAGCACTTGACAGTTTTATTGTAGCAGTCACTTCCAGAGCTCCACAAACACTGAGATCACGACCATTCACTCTCTCATTACATGCAGACCAATCAGAGCTGCCCCCAATTCACCAGTCCCTCTGATCCTCCTCCTGCAGAGGGTGGGTCCACAGAAAGATGGCTGCTCCTTCAACACAGATACGGCCTTGATCTATCAGCGGGGGCTTCAGGCAAAGTGGGGTTAAGTGTCTTGCCCAGGGACACAACGGCAGCAGACATCAGTGGGAGCAGGTGACATCGGTCGTGGTGGGATCGAACCCATGACTATTAGGTCTAAATACAAATGCTCTCCCAACTGCTATACATGTTTTTAGTGCGGTAGGGCAAACCGGAGCACCAGGAGGAACCCTACAACATTCAATTCAATGTATTTTGCACATTTTTGCTTGTCCCATTGGAAAATCATGTCCTTAGACGGTCCAGATGTGCTCGAATCAAGCCTATTACTTTATTTTAGGTATTTTTTGCAGTGCAGAAGTAAATCCACTTCAAAAATGATAAATTGTGAGGTGATAAAAGCTTGAATTTAGTGTTTTTTGTCTTAATATGAGCGCGTTGTGATTCTCCAACGAGACAAAGTCATTTAGTCTTATAACTGTTTATTTATTTTCATTGAAAGGGAGACATTTCTGTATCTTTTTTAAACAAAATCATTGCTTTGTCCCGTTGGAGGATCTTATTTAAGGCTCAGTCTGAATGTGCTCAGATTAAGACAATATTTTTCCAAATTTGTAACGCAAACTATCAACATGTTTAAACACACACACACGCGCACACACACTCGCACGCACACAAACACGCACACACACGCATACCCACACATATACATGCACACACACGCACACATACCCGCACGCACATGCACACACACGCACGCACGCGCACACAGACACACGCATACACCCACCCGCACGCACGCACACACACATACGCACACACCCGCACGCACTCTCACACACACACGCACTCTCACACACGCACACACAAGCACTCTCACACGCACGCACACACACACACACGCACTCTCACACACATTATGGGGTATGCGCTCTTCAGTCTTCAGTCTTTATGCACTATACAGTGAGTCACTGAAGACATTATAACAACAAATACAATGTAAAAGCTGAACCTTCTTTTGCCAAACCAAATCAGGATTTAACTAGAGCTGGACCAGATTTCAACCACGTGTCCTCACCGCGGGACCACAGGAGACCCAGTCTTTGTTGCATCACCGGTTACAGAACAGTCGGAAAGAGAAGCAGTAAGTGTAAAACTACTGTCACAGATCACATGCAGTGTTGCCAACTCCTCAGTAAGGAAAGTAGCTATTGGCTGTCCCAAAAGTCGCTAGAAGTCGCTAAATGACGTCATCGCCTAATTTGCATAATTCGCAATTTGCAAATAACTGTAACGGACGCTGTAGGAGAGAGGAATAACGTCGTGGGAGAGACAAAAGTGAGTAAAAAAACACCCTAAATATGTTTAGAACTACAAATGTACAAAAATAATTTCAACATAAACAACATTTAATGATTTTAATGCTTTGTCTAGATCTGTCGCTAGTTGCTTTTTTGAAAAAAAAAGTCGCTATAGGGTCTGAAAAGTCGCTAAATCTAGCGACAAAGTCGCTGAGTTGGCAACACTGATCACATGACCATCATCCACGTCGCTCTCTGGTCTCAGTTTGCTTATGGACTTCAGACCGGGCCGGACACACTCTCCTGGACCCAGACCCCCTGTCCCGCGGCTGGGGGCTGGGGTCTGAGGGGCCAAGTCCACACCCCACATACACGAGAGCTGCCCCCAATTCACCGGTCCCTCTGATCCTCCTCCTGCAGAGGGTGGGTCCACAGAAAGATGGCTGCTCCTTCAACACAGATACGGCCTTGATCTATCAGCGGGGGCTTCAGGCAAAGTGGGGTTAAGTGTCTTGCCCAGGGACACAACGGCAGCAGACATCAGTGGGAGCAGGTGACATCGGTCGTGGTGGGATCGAACCCATGACTATTAGGTCTAAATACAAATGCTCTCCCAACTGCTATACATGTTTTTAGTGCGGTAGGGCAAACCGGAGCACCAGGAGGAACCCTACAACATTCAATTCAATGTATTTTTGTATGGCCCTAAATCACAACACTAGTTTTCTCAGAGGACTTAAAGACCTTATGCCGGGTTTGATTTATTTAGAAATACAGTTTTAATACCATTTTATATTAGAAGAGAACTACTAAAGGTTTCAAAATCAGTTGTTGTTTTTTTTGTCTGATCCCCCCAAATTGAAATAACCCCATAGCAACGCCCTTCGAGACGAAAAAACTTCACAGCCCTTGGTGACGTCAGAGTGGGTACGTTTCAACGCTGTAAGTTGTTTACAATTTGGTATTCGTTCTTTTTTTTGTGGATATCGCTGAGATAGTCCAGTGGTTGTGTCGATGAACTGCCAATCCAGATACTTGGGTTCAAATCCCACCTCAGACACTTTTTCACTCTCAAAACGGCAATGTATGTGTAGTGAGCAATTGTCACCTGTAGAGGGCAGTATTGTGTTGGGCATCAGTGGAGAGAAGAGAGAAAAGGCAGTCCTGTGGCATAGATCCATGGTTTTCAATGCATGGGCGTTACCCGCTGTGACGTCACACACAGGTTAGAGCATAGACAGCTTAAATTCATGAAAAACACGTTCTTTTTATAAAATATAATAATAAATAATGCTGGAATCTCTTTCAGATCGACATTGTCATGCAATTTTGATATCCACAATTTTTTTTTTTAAACCTGGCATAAGGTCTTTAACAAACCCGTTGAAATCGCCAACACAGATTAGAAAATCAAACCGTTCAAACACATAGAGAACACATGTACATAGGTATTGGTCCAGAGGGAGTTGACCAATGTCCACATGTAAACTCCACTCAAAAAGGCTTCGTCTGGAGGTGGAATCAAACCCAGGAGTGCTAACCACGACAGCACCGCGGTCAAATCTGGCCTATTTATATTTTACACTGTTTTCTAGTTGCTCATTAATGCACTGCCTCTATCAAATCCATACATAATACATGTTTTGAAAGGCCAAAAACTGCTCTGTCCGTCAAATTAAATCAACGTTTCCAGAGTGACTGATGTGAGTAAATAAGTACAGGTCTGTTTTTGGGAGAGATCAATGTTGTAACGGTTAAAATCTCAAAAAAGAGGATTTAGCAGAATATCCTTTAACGCAGACAGAGAGAACAGCTTGTTTTGCAGATCAGAGATTCTCCGTCTGTATGAAGTAAATACACACACAGATGTAAAGTGTGTGGAGTCATGAGAAAAGCAAGTGTGAAGCCCCAGAATCATGCACTTTGTTAGTATTATATAAGGAAAGGGAACGGAGACAGGTGCTGTAAAGAGGCTGCAGCTTCTGAAACAGGTTTCCACCATTCAAGTCTTAACCCAGTCTGGTCTTACCATACCATCGTAATTCTTTCTTTTGTACGAAGGTCTGGAGGTAGCACAGGAGCCAGAGCAGGAGCCAGAGGAGGAGCCAGAGAAGGAGCCAGAGCAGGAGCCAGAGCAGGAGCCAGAGCAGGAGCCAGATCAGGAGCTAAAGGAGGAGCCAGAGCAGGAGCCAGGCAGGGGCCAGAGCAGGAGCTAAAGGAGGAGCCAGAGCAGGAGCCAGAGCAGGGGCCAGAGCAGGAGCCAGAGCAGGAGCTAAAGGAGGAGCCAGAGCAGGAGCCAGAGCAGGGGCCAGAGAAGGAGCCAGAGGAGGAGCCAGAGCAGGAGCTAAAGGAGGAGCCAGAGCAGGAGCCAGAGCAGGGGCCAGAGCAGGAGCTAAAGGAGGAGCCAGAGCAGGAGCCAGAGCAGGAGCCAGAGAAGGAGCAGGAGCCAGAGAAGGAGCCAGAGCAGGAGCCAGAGCCAGGAGCCAGAGCAGGAGCCAGAGCAGGAGCCAGAGGAGGAGCCAGAGAAGGAGCCAGAGCAGGAGCCAGAGCAGGAGCCAGAGCAGGAGCCAGATCAGGAGCTAAAGGAGGAGCCAGAGCAGGAGCCAGAGCAGGGGCCAGAGCAGGAGCTAAAGGAGGAGCCAGAGCAGGAGCCAGAGCAGGGGCCAGAGCAGGAGCCAGAGCAGGAGCTAAAGGAGGAGCCAGAGCAGGAGCCAGAGCAGGGGCCAGAGAAGGAGCCAGAGGAGGAGCCAGAGCAGGAGCTAAAGGAGGAGCCAGAGCAGGAGCCAGAGCAGGGGCCAGAGCAGGAGCTAAAGGAGGAGCCAGAGCAGGAGCCAGAGCAGGAGCCAGAGAAGGAGCCAGAGAAGGAGCAGGAGCCAGAGAAGGAGCCAGAGCAGGAGCCAGAGGAGGAGCCAGAGCAGGAGCCAGAGGAGGAGCCAGAGCAGGAGCTAAAGGAGGAGCCAGAGCAGGAGCCAGAGCAGGGGCCAGAGCAGGAGCCAGAGCAGGAGCCAGAGCAGGGGCCAGAGCAGGAGCCAGCGCAGGAGCCAGAGAAGGAGCCAGAGGAGGAGCCAGAGCAGGAGCTAAAGGAGGAGCCAGAGCAGGAGCCAGAGCAGGGGCCAGAGCAGGAGCTAAAGGAGGAGCCAGAGCAGGAGCCAGAGCAGGAGCCAGAGAAGGAGCCAGAGAAGGAGCAGGAGCCAGAGAAGGAGCAGGAGCCAGAGGAGGAGCCAGAGCAGGAGCCAGAGGAGGAGCCAGAGCAGGAGCTAAAGGAGGAGCCAGAGCAGGAGCCAGAGCAGGGGCCAGAGCAGGAGTTAAAGGAGGAGCCAGAGCAGGAGCCAGAGAAGGAGCCAGAGCAGGAGCCAGAGAAGGAGCCAGAGAAGGAGCAGGAGCCAGAGGAGGAGCCAGAGCAGGAGCCAGAGGAGGAGCCAGAGCAGGAGCCAGAGGAGGAGCCAGAGGAGGAGCCAGAGCAGGAGCCAGAGAAGGAGCCAGAGGAGGAGCCAGAGCAGGAGCCAGAGGAGGAGCCAGAGGAGGAGCCAGAGCAGGAGCCAGAGCAGGAGCCAGAGGAGGAGCCAGAGGAGGAGCCAGAGGAGGAGCCAGAGCAGGAGCCAGAGGAGGAGCCAGAGCAGGAGCCAGAGGAGGAGCCAGAGAAGGAGCCAGAGGAGGAGCCAGAGCAGGAGCCAGAGGAGGAGCCAGAGGAGGAGCCAGAGCAGGAGCCAGAGCAGGAGCCAGATAAGGAGCTAAAGGAGGAGCCAGAGCAGGAGCTAAAGGAGGAGCCAGAGCAGGAGCCAGAGCAGGGGCCAGAGCAGGAGCTAAAGGAGGAGCCAGAGGAGGAGCCAGAGGAGGAGCCAGAGGAGGTGTGTAGCAAGAGCTTGAAGAAGCGCTCGTTTGTAGGAAGTAGCTGCTTTTAAACCGCTCGCTTCACTGTCATAGGTTGGCAAGAGGCTGGCCGAGCTCTGTGATTGGCTGAGGAGGGAGAGGCTGGCAGAGCTCTGTGATTGGCTGAGGAGGGAGAGGCTGGTAGAGCTCTGTGATTGGCTGAGGAGGGAGATGCTGGTAGAGCTCTGTGATTGGCTGAGGGTGGAGAGGCTGGCAGGGCTCTGTGATTGGCTGAGGAGGGAGAGGCTGGCAGAGCTCTGTGATTGGCTGAGGAGAAAGAGGCTGGCAGGGCTCTGTGATTGGCTGAGGGTGGAGAGGCTGGCAGAGCTCTGTGATTGGCTGAGGGTGGAGAGGCTGGTAGAGTTCTGTGATTGGCTGAGGGTGGAGAGGCTGGTAGAGCTCTGTGATTGGCTGAGGGTGGAAAGGCTGGCAGGGCTCTGTGATTGGCTGAGGGTGGAGAGGCTGGTAGAGTTCTGTGATTGGCTGAGGGTGGAGAGGCTGGTAGAGCTCTGTGATTGGCTGAGGGTGGAGAGGCTGGTAGAGCTCTGTGATTGGCTGAGGGTGGAGAGTCTGGTAGAGCTCTGTGATTGGCTGAGGGTGGAGAGGCTGGTAGAGCTCTGTGATTGGCTGAGGGTGGAGAGGCTGGTAGAGCTCTGTGATTGGCTGAGGGTGGAGAGGCTGGTAGAGCTCTGTGATTGGCTGAGGGTGGAGAGGCTGGTAGAGCTCTGTGATTGGCTGAGGAGGGAGAGGCTGGTAGAGCTCTGTGATTGGCTGAGGAGGGAGAGAATGGTAGAGCTCTGTGATTGGCTGAGGATGGAGAGGCTGGTAGAGCTCTGTGATTGGCTGAGGGTGGAGAGGCTGGTAGAGCTCTGTGATTGGCTGAGGGTGGAGAGGCTGGTAGAGCTCTGTGATTGGCTGAGGGTGGAGAGGCTGGTAGAGCTCTGTGATTGGCTGAGGGTGGAGAGGCTGGTAGAGTTCTGTGATTGGCTGAGGGTGGAGAGGCTGGTAGAGCTCTGTGATTGGCTGAGGGTGGAGAGGCTGGTAGAGCTCTGTGATTGGCTGAGGGTGGAGAGTCTGGTAGAGCTCTGTGATTGGCTGAGGGTGGAGAGGCTGGTAGAGCTCTGTGATTGGCTGAGGGTGGAGAGGCTGGTAGAGCTCTGTGATTGGCTGAGGGTGGAGAGGCTGGTAGAGCTCTGTGATTGGCTGAGGGTGGAGAGGCTGGTAGAGCTCTGTGATTGGCTGAGGAGGGAGAGGCTGGTAGAGCTCTGTGATTGGCTGAGGAGGGAGAGGCTGGTAGAGCTCTGTGATTGGCTGAGGATGGAGAGGCTGGTAGAGCTCTGTGATTGGCTGAGGGTGGAGAGGCTGGTAGAGCTCTGTGATTGGCTGAGGGTGGAGAGGCTGGTAGAGCTCTGTGATTGGCTGAGGGTGGAGAGGCTGGTAGAGCTCTGTGATTGGCTGAGGGTGGAGAGGCTGGTAGAGCTCTGTGATTGGCTGAGGGTGGAGAGGCTGGTAGAGCTCTGTGATTGGCTGAGGGTGGAGAGGCTGGTAGAGCTCTGTGATTGGCTGAGGAGGGAGAGGCTGGTAGAGCTCTGTGATTGGCTGAGGATGGAGAGGCTGGTAGAGCTCTGTGATTGGCTGAGGGTGGAGAGGCTGGTAGAGCTCTGTGATTGGCTGAGGAGGGAGAGGCTGGTAGAGCTCTGTGATTGGCTGAGGAGGGAGAGGCTGGCAGAGCTCTGTGATTGGCTGAGGAGGGAGAGGCTGGTAGAGCTCTGTGATTGGCTGAGGGTGGAGAGGCTGGTAGAGCTCTGTGATTGGCTGAGGGTGGAGAGGCTGGTAGAGCTCTGTGATTGGCTGAGGAGGGAGAGGCTGGTAGAGCTCTGTGATTGGCTGAGGAGGGAGAGGCTGGTAGAGCTCTGTGATTGGCTGAGGATGGAGAGGCTGGTAGAGCTCTGTGATTGGCTGAGGGTGGAGAGGCTGGTAGAGCTCTGTGATTGGCTGAGGGTGGAGAGGCTGGTAGAGCTCTGTGATTGGCTGAGGGTGGAGAGGCTGGTAGAGCTCTGTGATTGGCTGAGGGTGGAGAGGCTGGTAGAGCTCTGTGATTGGCTGAGGGTGGAGAGGCTGGTAGAGCTCTGTGATTGGCTGAGGAGGGAGAGGCTGGTAGAGCTCTGTGATTGGCTGAGGAGGGAGAGGCTGGTAGAGCTCTGTGATTGGCTGAGGATGGAGAGGCTGGTAGAGCTCTGTGATTGGCTGAGGGTGGAGAGGCTGGTAGAGCTCTGTGATTGGCTGAGGGTGGAGAGGCTGGTAGAGCTCTGTGATTGGCTGAGGAGGGAGAGGCTGGTAGAGCTCTGTGATTGGCTGAGGGAGGGAGAGGCTGGCAGAGCTCTGTGATTGGCTGAGGAGGGAGAGGCTGGTAGAGCTCTGTGATTGGCTGAGGGTGGAGAGAGGCTGGCAGAGTTCTGTGATTGGCTGAGGAGGGAGAGGCTGGTAGAGCTCTGTGATTGGCTGAGGAGGGAGAGGCTGGCAGAGCTCTGTGATTGGCTGAGGAGGGAGAGGCTGGTAGAGCTCTGTGATTGGCTGAGGGTGGAGAGGCTGGTAGAGCTCTGTGATTGGCTGAGGGTGGAGAGGCTGGTAGAGCTCTGTGATTGGCTGAGGGTGGAGAGTCTGGTAGAGCTCTGTGATTGGCTGAGGAGGGAGAGGCTGGCCCCTGATGGGATGAAACTGCAGCATGTTTTCTTCCAGTCTGAATTTGCGCTAAAGCTTCATAACAATTATAAGACACGGAAATCCCGTCTATTCTTTCAGCCTCTGACCACTTCCTATTTTTATCATTCCTCTGACATAGATGAAACAGAGGGTTCATGGAGAAGCCCTAGAGAATGTACTTTACCCAATTTGCGTCAATTATTCAATTTTTGTGGGTCTTTTTAACCATTTCCAGTAAATCCTCCCATAAAACATTACATATCTACTCTGGGGGTTCGGGGAGATTTATTCTTTCTCTGTGATCTCAATTCAAAAGTATTTGTTTGTATCTGTGGCATGTGCAGTGCGTCTGTAAAATGTCTGCAGCGTTCATTGTGTTGTCATACCACAGATAGTTGTGCGTCTCTGTGTCGCTGCTCGCACACATTTCCTCTCCTTATACAACAGGAGAGACCCATCCCCGAGGAAGTCCAACCAAACAAGTCTGTGTTTGCGTGTCTCCGTCTCTAAGCCACGACTGAAAATGAAACTTTAGATGGAAGGACTTTAAAGCTGGGGTACATAACTTTTAAACTATGTGTAATACAACCCAACTAACTAGCTACTAATCAATAATGTTCACTGGCTTGTATTTTTGGTCTGTATTTTTCAATCTGGAAAGAAGAAGGCCTTAGATATCTTTAGAATGGTGTTTATTTAACATGAATATATTGTAGCTCTACATTTAGGCAGATGCATGACGTGATACTAGGATTTTAATCACAAACATTGCTCCATTGTGAAATCAATAAAGTTTATCTTATCTTAGACATAGTGGCTTGCGAACAAACCCCCTGGGGCTAGACCCTGGTGGTGGTGCAAGCGAAGCCAACAATGTGATGATTCCTCTTCTGTAGAGGTGATGGGGAGGAGGTGGGTTGGTGCACAAACAGCAGCTTGACCTGAGGACTGAGGCGTTGTTTTCACAGTGACGCTGTCGTTGCACCGCTGTTTAATTGGCTGCGGGCATTGATTGGGCCGGAACTCCTATTGGCCATACAGGAGGCTTACGGGCCAATGGCAGCGTCCGGGAGGCGGGCTGAAGTTCTGGCGGGAACAAGTCCGACAGAAGAGACACACATGGAGCGGGAGGGGATGGCCCAGACCTGGAGCCGTAACAACGTATGTAAACAACAATGGCGGCGGGTCGACTAATGCTACGTGTGCTTCGCTAACGGAGGAAGATTCTACTCCTGCGTCCAAACCACAGCTGTTACAAAATGATGTTGGTTCTTTCCCGTCTTTGCGGCGACCTGAGGAGGATGTTGTTGAGGAAGTGAATATACTGCTGGGGGTTGCGTGTGTCGTGTTGTAAAGTTCCACTGCCCCCTATTGGCTGCAAGCTAGAACTACATTGTTTTCCGCTGCCGTGTAAGTAAGTAAGTTAGTAAGTTTTTATTTATATACCGCCTTTTCACTGCAGATCTGAGTCTCAAAGCGGTTTACAATTGTTAATTTTGGGCATTTGTCTCTCACTCCACACAGAGATGGGAGTGGGGCCAGTACAGGAGGCGCATGCTAGAACTATTGGACATTTTTTTAGTGGTAGGGGAAACCGGAGTACCCGGAGGAAACCTACGCAGACACGGGGAGAATATGCAAACTCCACTCAGAAAGGCCCTGGTCCGGCCGGAATTTGAACCCAGGACCTTCTTGCTGAGAGGCGAGAGTGCTATCCACTCAGCCACCGTGCCGCCATGTGGACACTGTGCACTTGGAGCCGGGTCGTTTTTTGTTTTTTTTCACATTTCTTTACAGCGACTCCGTCTAAACCAGGGGTGTCATTCATACGGCCCGCGGGCCGGAACCGGCCCGCCAAGAGATTTGACACGGCCCGCGGCTCATTTATGTAAAATTATAATGATAATATTTAAATCCGCGCCGCAACGTGACGCGAGGCTCCGCGACGCCGCAGCGCCGCGCTCAGCAGTGAGTCCAGTGCGTCTGTAGTGGCTCCACCAGAGCGGTGCTGAAGGAATATCATCTTAAACTACGAGACTCTGCAAAAAATACGGCTCTTTGAGCGGAGAATTGAGAAGACAGAAGATAAACATGTCTGGCCCTGAAGAAACAGCAGTCTGTTTGTGCCCAGAGCAAGAGGTTAGTGCTGCTGTAAGCTAAAAACATAGCATTAGCATCGCAGCCGCACAGTGAGAGAGTTGTTAAAACTCTCACAGGCGGCAGACTGTGTCCTGAGAAACCACCCACTGTCACCAACATGTTCCCATTGATAAGATACTGATGTTACTGATGTCACATATTCATTTGTGGTGTTACTGAAACTATCAGATGAGTTTTGAGCGCTGTTGCTGGTGCTGGTGCTGGTGCTGTTGCTGGTTCTGCTGTTGTTGCTGGTGTGTTGAACAGTGTGGACTGGTCCATATTGTGAAATACCATTTTCAATGTAATATTGTAAATACATTACATTATTTGGACTATGAATAACTCACTGTTACATTTAAGTTTGTAACAGAAAACTGAGTATTAAAGGACAGTGTTTTAAAGGAAGTTTTAAATAAATGTGGTTATGTGCACAAAAAGTTGGACTTTGTACCGTTTTTGGGTATTTTTGTAGAGCATCTTCTGGTCCGGCCCACTTGAGATCCAATTAGGTTGTATGTGGCCCCCGGACCAAAATGAGTTTGACACCCCTGGTCTAAACGCTCAGTTAAAATGCAGCTATGAAGTGTACCTTTCTCTATTATTAAATATTCACAAACCGGTCTTTTTACATGTGTTTTAATTATGACAGATCACTTGTCGACTCTCACGCCTTTGTTCAATGTTAACTATAAAAGTCCAAACATGCATCACGTTTACATCACAAGAATGTTGCCGTAAATGCAGATACACACCTTCTTCCTTCTCACACACTCCTCTGTAAACTGCTGCAGGCTAACCACTCACTGAACAATAGAAGGAGCAGACGTTCAGGTCAATGGAAAACAACAGGTCATGTGACTTCTACCTCTCAGATATCACTGATATTATGAGACACCAAAGTCATATTCTGGTTATTGCTTCTGTGAAGTTACTTTTTGGCCTTTAAAAGTAACTCACTCAAAGATTCAAGAACGTGTTTGAAAAGGTTGCATTTGTGGTTTTTGGAGAAAAGACGGTTGAAAGAAGTGCATTCGTTCAATCTTTAATAATACTTCACAACTTGGATGGATGAAAACATTATTTCAAAGTTATGTTTTAACTGTATATAAGCACAATGATGGACTATAAGGTGCCTTGAATTTCAGCTTTAACTAGATACAGTAGATAGATAGATACATAGATACATAGATACATAGATAGATAGATAGATAGGGACCATAATATTTTAATTTGAAATTGCATGTACAACATTTATACGCACATACATGTCACAGGTTTAAAAGTGTCTGTTGAGGGGGTGTGATCATAAAACAGGAAGAAGATAAAAAGGGGATAAAATTTAATAAAATATTTACAAAAGGTCCATTAAAATCATGATAAAACCCGTAGTCCGCTGGGCACCGGTGTCCTCCCTGGCCTCGGTTCCCTCCAGGCCCTTCTCCGTCCCGGGACCGGGCTGCAGTCCCGCCAGCCCCTTGCAGACCACGGGTCGCCACCGGGCACCCGCGGGGAAGAGCCGGCACATCCCGGTCTTCAGTGGGCATAGCCCGGGCGCGCACGCGCCAGTGCGCGCCCCCTCACCGGTGCCGCTCTGCCCGCTGGCCTCAGTGCCCCGTGGTCTCTGGCTGGCGGTGCTCGTCCTTGGCCCGGTCCCGTGTCCTCATCCTCTCCCCTGGCTCTCGTCTGGCTCTCCTCTGCTCTCTTCCTGTTCTTCTCCCCTGTCCTGCAGTGCCCGCCCCCAATTAAAAGGTCTTGATTAAAACAGGTGCGGGTGATTAGGGAAAGTGTCCAAGGAACTGTGATTAAAATCCATGCATTAAAAATATAAAAACACACAAAGCACATCACACAAATAAAAGCAGTTAAAAGTCCTTTTTTAAAAGTCCACTTTCCCACATACACACACACACACACACACACACACACACACACACACACTCACATACACACACACACACTCACATACACACACACACACACTCACATACACGCACACACACACACTCACTCACATACACACATACACACACACATACACACACACATACAAACACTCACATACACGCACACACACACACACTCACTCACACACACACACACACTCACTCACACACACACACACATATAGATACAAACTCCAAAAGAATTACCTTTGTCAGCTTCAATTCAAATCTAAGTAAATCATTCTGTTTTGCACTAGTTTCATTAAAAGTAAATCAACTCTCCATCTTTTTACCGCAGCCGGGACATAATTAGATCCATGAACAATTTGTTGCTCTTGTGTAAATGTGAGAATTACAATCCGCTCAGAGAAGCCTTTGTCTTTGGAGCTGCTAAAACGGATCATGTTGTGAATGTGTGACACGGACTCCAGCTGAGACCAGGGTCCGGATCTGCCGCCGGGAACCAGAGACCCGCTGGAACCAGAGACCCGCTGGAACCAGAGACCCGCTGGATCCACGGCTCCCTCTGTGGTCGTGTGACAGTTCTGCTCCGTGACTCATTGATTCAGCATCTCGGAAATGATTCTAATCCCTAAAAGTCGACGTTTTGTTATTGTCCGATGAGCCGCTGTTTCCGAGGCGTCTCTAAAATGCAGCAGTGGGAAAAAGCACTGGTTTCAAACTAGCTCTTTTTAAACTATTGTGAAAAACTGCTTCATGTTTTCAGAGCAAAAAGCAAGGTATGTTTCTTTGTGTGTTTTGTTGCTTTCATGCGATCTCGGAAACTCTGAATTTCTGGCGTTCCTGCCTGTTTGTCTGTGGATTGACAAATGTTCGGTTTTTGCAATTCCCCTTTATGCAGTTGAGGCAAATGTCACTGAAATGTGATGTTAGGGAGCGGAAATTAAAACTTATTTTTTGACTCTATGATCGATAAAAACACATTGGATTGAGTGAAAAATGAAAAAAAGACTAGATTAGATTAGCTAGCCTGGTCTTATCACACCATAGTACTCATTTCATTTCATACTAAGGTCTGGATTTGTTCCATTGACTCCGTTAACAGGTGGGAGGGGTTAACTTCTTTTGCACATTTTGCGCCCGGGTGAGTCGTTAGCATTTAGCCTAGCTTTAGCATCTAGCCTAGCTTTAGCCATCGTCTTTGCCGCTAACGGAGCCCACGGGGAGTATTGATATTTGGATTGAACCAGAACAGATTATTTTACTATCGCATTCTCCGACAAACTACAACCTGCAAATTCAGCACAAACTCTTGACGTCACCGACACCGACCTACAACACCCGCCTCCCCCGCTCTCTGATTGGTCGGAGGGGATTCAACCGAGGAAACTGCAGCCAATAGGATCAGACCCAGACGTACATGTAGGAAATGATCATGGACCAGAGTTTACACATGGTAAGACCAGACGTACATGTAGGAAATGACCATGGACCAGAGTTTACACATGGTAAGACCAGACGTACATGTAGGAAATGATCATGGACCAGAGTTTACACATGGTAAGACCAGACGTACATGTAGGAAATGACCATGGACCAGAGTTTACACATGGTAAGACCAGACGTACATGTAGGAAATGATCATGGACCAGAGTTTACACATGGTAAGACCAGACGTACATGTAGGAAATGACCATGGACCAGAGTTTACACATGGTAAGACCAGACGTACATGTAGGAGATGACCATGGACCAGAGTTTACACATGGTAAGACCAGACGTACATGTAGGAAATGATCATGGACCAGAGTTTACACATGGTAAGACCAGACGTACATGTAGGAAATGACCATGGACCAGAGTTTACACATGGTAAGACCAGACGTACATGTAGGAAATGATCATGGACCAGAGTTTACACATGGTAAGACCAGACGTACATGTAGGAAATGACCATGGACCAGAGTTTACACATGGTAAGACCAGACGTACATGTAGGAAATGATCATGGACCAGAGTTTACACATGGTAAGACCAGACGTACATGTAGGAGATGACCATGGACCAGAGTTTACACATGGTAAGACCAGACGCACATGTAGGAGATGATCATGAACCAGAGTTTACACATGGTAAGACCAGACGTACATGTAGGAAATGATCATGGACCAGAGTTTACACATGGTAAGACCAGACGTACATGTAGGAAATGATCATGGACCAGAGTTTACACATGGTAAGACCAGACGTACATGTAGGAAATGATCATGGACCAGAGTTTACACATGGTAAGACCAGACGTACATGTAGGAAATGACCATGGACCAGAGTTTACACATGGTAAGACCAGACGTACATGTAGGAGATGATCATGGACCAGAGTTTACACATGGTAAGACCAGACCTACATGTACATAGTTGAGAGATGGCTAAGGCTTAGCTAGCACAGTGGGTCTAAGCTAACGCATATTCCCACTGACACAGGGACATCTCTTTCCGGGGTTTTCCGTGTTCCCACTCCTCATTCTCTGACCTTCTCATAAAAGTTCACTTTGAGACGTTTTATTCAGAAATATCAAGTTCCGGCAGATGAATGATGCGGATGGAACCCCCTCGGACAAAGTAACACATTTAGCCGGCGATAATTACGGGAGCGAACGGAGACACATCAATAACGGCGAGTCGCTAATGACTTCACACAATAATGACTTCACACAATAATGACTACACACAATAATGACTTCACACAACTTTTAGTGCCGTAATAATATCATAATCCACTGGTTGTTTAGGTCAGAGACATTTGGAGTTAGTTCAACTTGAAATGTTATCTTTCTATTGTTCAATTTAGAAAGATTCAGATAAAAGTATTGCATATTTGACTGAGGAAGCATATAGAGGAAGTTTGGCACTACGTACACATGGTATAGAACTACACATGGTATAGAACTACACATGGTATAGAACTCAAGATTCAAGATTCATTTATTATGTCCCGTAGGAAATGTGTCTTGGACTCACAGCTGCTACATTGAAAATACACAGTAACACCGACATAAACCATCAGCTCTGCTCCATGGTCTGTATTCAGGAGGTTCACAGACATAAACCATCAGCTCTGCTCCATGGTCTGTGTTCAGGAGGTTCACAGACATAAACCATCAGCTCTGCTCCATGGTCTGTGTTCAGGAGGTTCACAGACATAAACCATCAGCTCTGCTCCATGGTCTGTGTTCAGGAGGTTCACAGACATAAACCATCAGCTCTGCTCCATGGTCTGTATTCAGGAGGTTCACAGACATAAACCATCAGCTCTGCTCCATGGTCTGTATTCAGGAGGTTCACAGACATAAACCATCAGCTCTGCTCCATGGTCTGTATTCAGGAGGTTCACAGACATAAACCATCAGCTCTGCTCCATGGTCTGCGTTCGGAGGTTCACAGACATAAACCATCAGCTCTGCTCCATGGTCTGCGCTCAGGAGGTTCACAGACATAAACCATCAGCTCTGCTCCATGGTCTGTATTCAGGAGGTTCACAGACATAAACCATCAGCTCTGCTCCATGGTCTGTATTCAGGAGGTTCACAGACATAAACCATCAGCTCTGCTCCATGGTCTGCGTTCAGGAGGTTCACAGACATAAACCATCAGCTCTGCTCCATGGTCTGTATTCAGGAGGTTCACAGACATAAACCATCAGCTCTGCTCCATGGTCTGTGTTCAGGAGGTTCACAGACATAAACCATCAGCTCTGCTCCATGGTCTGCGTTCAGGAGGTTCACAGACATAAACCATCAGCGCTCTGCTCCATGGTCTGCGTTCAGGAGGTTCACAGACATAAACCATCAGCGCTCTGCTCCATGGTCTGCGTTCAGGAGGTTCACAGACATAAACCATCAGCTCTGCTCCATGGTCTGTGTTCAGGAGGTTCACAGACATAAACCATCAGCTCTGCTCCATGGTCTGCGTTCAGGAGGTTCACAGACATAAACCATCAGCTCTGCTCCATGGTCTGCGCTCAGGAGGTTCACAGACATAAACCATCAGCTCTGCTCCATGGTCTGTGTTCAGGAGGTTCACAGACATAAACCATCAGCTCTGCTCCATGGTCTGCGCTCAGGAGGTTCACAGACATAAACCATCAGCTCTGCTCCATGGTCTGTGTTCAGGAGGTTCACCGACATAAACCATCAGCTCTGCTCCATGGTCTGCATTCAGGAGGTTCACAGACATAAACCATCAGCTCTGCTCCATGGTCTGTGTTCAGGAGGTTCACAGACATAAACCATCAGCTCTGCTCCATGGTCTGCGCTCAGGAGGTTCACAGACATAAACCATCAGCTCTGCTCCATGGTCTGTATTCAGGAGGTTCACAGACATAAACCATCAGCTCTGCTCCATGGTCTGTATTCAGGAGGTTCACAGACATAAACCATCAGCTCTGCTCCATGGTCTGCGTTCAGGAGGTTCACAGACATAAACCATCAGCTCTGCTCCATGGTCTGTATTCAGGAGGTTCACAGACATAAACCATCAGCTCTGCTCCATGGTCTGCGTTCAGGAGGTTCACAGACATAAACCATCAGCTCTCCTCCATGGTCTGCGTTCAGGAGGTTCACAGACATAAACCATCAGCTCTGCTCCATGGTCTGCGTTCAGGAGGTTCACAGACATAAACCATCAGCTCTGCTCCATGGTCTGTGTTCAGGAGGTTCACAGACATAAACCATCAGCTCTGCTCCATGGTCTGTATTCAGGAGGTTCACAGACATAAACCATCAGCTCTGCTCCATGGTCTGCGCTCAGGAGGTTCACAGACATAAACCATCAGCTCTGCTCCATGGTCTGTATTCAGGAGGTTCACAGACATAAACCATCAGCTCTGCTCCATGGTCTGCGCTCAGGAGGTTCACAGACATAAACCATCAGCTCTGCTCCATGGTCTGTGTTCAGGAGGTTCACAGACATAAACCATCAGCTCTGCTCCATGGTCTGCGTTCAGGAGGTTCACAGACATAAACCATCAGCTCTGCTCCATGGTCTGTATTCAGGAGGTTCACAGACATAAACCATCAGCTCTGCTCCATGGTCTGTGTTCAGGAGGTTCACAGACATAAACCAGTTTAGATAGCTTTTCTTATTTCTGGTTGGTTCTCTGTAGCGGCCTGATGGGAGGAGCTGATACTGAGAGTAGAGGATTAACAGACCTAGTCACGCCTTTCTCCGCCGTTCTAACTAATGGGCCAAAAATTGGGCTTTCATGGAGTGATTCAAAATGGCCGCGGGGGCTGGAAAATGTGAAAAAACTCATCTGTGCAGGCGTCAGCTGCACGAGCCCCATTCATTTGAACGAGAGACTTCTAAAGTCCACAGCGACTAAACTAGACTGGTCCAGAACACTCAGCATTGACACACATGTGGAACGGAGCTTTGGGCCAAGAGACAACTTTTGGACCATCCTGTAAAGACGTTTTCCAGAGGTAAGAAGATGCTATATGTTAGCATTGGCTAATTCTTATTACAGGTCCACCCCCACAGGCCTGGGGTGGTACTGCATGGCACGTCATTTTGGACAC